GAGGGGGAGGGCCCTGCATTTGTGCATGCTGGTGTGTGCATGTGCACGCGCGCGTGCGTGTGTGTGTGCGCGCGCGTGTGATCAGGAGGGTAGGGCTTGGATACTGGGGAAGGGACTGTGGACTCCAGGGACAATCTCCTCTCCCCCTAGGCAATGAGACCATCTGCTCCCCCAACATCTACATTGAGTGTGCAGACCACACTTTGGGTAGGTGCTGCCTTCTTCCCTCTTCTTCCTGTCTCTATCTCCATTTCTCTAGTTCCCCATTCTCCTTTATCCCTTACCTATCTTTCTCTCTATCTCATAGAATCATGGAATTAGAGTCATCCAGTCTGATCCCTGCCTGCTGGATCAATCTTCTGTGTACCATTCTTGATAATTCAGCTTTTGCTTGACTATTCCTAGTGACGGGGAGCTTGCCACCTGATAGGGCAGCCGATTTCATTGTTAGATAGCTCTAATAGAAGCTTCTGCGCACCTATTGAACAAAAATGGGCCTCCTCTTAAATTCTACCTGTTGGTTCCAGTTTTATCCTCTAGCACAGAGTAGAATGAGTTTTATCTCTCTTTCACATAATAGGCCATCAGATATTTGAAGACAGACACATGTCTATCCCTAGTTCCTTATCACCCTGGCCACCTCATCTATCTTTCTTCTCATTCTGTATCTGCAATCTTCCCTTCTATTGTTTACCCTGCCTCCCCATTAGCCTAGAACCCCATCTCCCCATCTCCTCTCCATCCAATCTTCCCTCAACCGGGTCCTTCCTGAGGTGGGGGGTGTCTAAGTCTATGGGACTTTGAGTTTGAGACTCTGGAGTAGAGGTAGTGTGGAAAGTATACTTGACTTTGCAAGTCAGGAGACCTGGATTCTAGTCCAGGCTCTGCCATTACCTTACTGTGTGACTTTGGACAGATATTTTAGCCTTTCGGGGTAAGTGAGAAATCTACTGTTGGAGGCATTACCCAGCATCCATATGGGGCAAACCCTGTGTGACCATCCAAGCCCCTCTCCTGCTTTCTTTTCCTAGCCAACTTTGCAACATGTGAAATTATCTCTCTCCTGGCCTGGCTCCCTCTGTCACACACTAGCTCTCATGCACCGGCTCCCTGAGTCCTGCTCATCTCCTTTTCACACAGTCTGGCCTTAACCTGTGTATCTAGCAGTCCATATGACACATTTGCCACAGTGGGTGAGTCTTGACTTGTCACTGAAATCTGGCCTCTTCCTGGGCTAGCTTGGGGGGTACATTTGGAGGATCCAGACTGCTCAAAAGTGTCTCAGGGTGAGGCAGTCATAGGTTGGCTACAGTGGGAAGGATCTTAGATCATTAGGATTAACTTGGCTGGAAGGCATAGACTTGTCACTCCCAATGCAAAGAAAACAGTATGTAGACCTTTGTTTGGGGAGGTCTTTTTCTTGTGACTACACCTGTCTGAAAGGACTAGTATACCCCACCTCTGCCAACCTATTCCCCTTTGAAGCTCTTATCTTCTCTAGCCCATCCCAGATGGAACTGTTGTGTTGCAGACTCTCTGGGTGGGGGATCAGGAGGCCGCTGTGCTTGCCCCATGCCTTGCAATCTGACACGCTATGGGAAAGAGATCTCCATGGTTCGGATCCCCAACCGAAGCTCGGCCCGATATCTGGCCAGGAAGTACAACCGAAACGAGACCTACATACGGTACAGGGGTGGTAGTGGGGTCAGGTATGGTGAGGAGGCATGGGCTGGCTGCAAAGACCTGGAGAGTGCTGAGGGTGTGAGGTAGGGGTGGAGGAATCATGGGGAGCTACAAGAAGACATGCACCCATCATGGTGCAAGGAGTGGGGCAGGGAGGGAATATAAGGATAAGGGTGGAGGATGAAGTGGTACTGGGGCACAGAAAAAATAAAATCGCCGTATGTGACCTGCATCCAGGTCCCCTGCCCACCACTCAAAACCAGGCATATAATAGGCATGTAATAAAGGTAGAATTAATTAAAATAATTAATTAAAATAACACATCCACCAAGTATTTATCAAACACCTGCTCCGTATAAGACAGGGTGCTAAGGGTGTGAATGAATGAATGCATAAATGAATGAAGGTGTGGATAATACACAGGTGAATAAGATACAGCCCCACCCTCATAAAGTTTACCATCTCATTGGGAGGGCAAAACCAAAATTAAATGCTAACTTCACAGAATTGACTAAACACTATAGAAATTGAGAGGAAAGAGATTGCCGTGATAGTCAAGGAAGGTTTCGTGGAGAAGGTGAGATTTGGGTGGACCTTGAAGGATTTAGGTAGGCAATGGGGGAGGGTGTTGCAGGGAGGGGGACAGCATAAGCAATGACAGGGAGGTTTGTGATCATGCTGTATTTGTAGCATAGTCAAGAATGAAACAGAGGGTGTATATTGGAGTACGGTGGGAAGTATGGTGCCATAGAGACATTGGCATGGGGCCAAGTTAGAGGGGGCCTTGAATGGTAGGTTGAAGAGTTTGGACTTCATGTGTTGAGTAGAAGGGGGCCAATGTAAATTCTGGAATGGATGCGGTGGTATTGGAGACAGTAGGGATGAGGAGGAATAAGGATCATCCATCCACTTATCAGAATTTTAAGGGGCCTTAGAGATCATTTAATCCAATACTCTCCAAGGGTTAAGACAGGGGACTTCTGAGACATGTGTGAGTCTGTTCTCTGGGAGCATGGAGGAAGTTCCACATCTCTGTTTTCCTGACATTATGAAGACACAAGCCCCACCTGGGTGATCTCTGAGGGGAAAGTGGAGGCCACCAGCTATTTGCTCAGAACACCTGCAGTGGCTGACCTATCATAGCTTCCAGGGATATCCGTGTGCTAGGGTCGGTTTCCCCTGCATCCACTGTGTCCCTTGCCAATCCACCTGACGCCCTGCCCATGTTCTCTGCTCCTCCCAAACTGCTTCCTGTACTGAACCTATGGAATGTTTCCACAGAGAGAACTTTCTGGTCTTGGACGTTTTCTTTGAAGCCCTGACCTCTGAGTCTGTGGAGCAGAGAGCAGCTTATGGCCTGTCTGCCCTCCTGGGTGAGACCTGTTCCCCCTGACAGTGCCTCAGATGGTCTTGCAGGCTTTGCCCCAGGCCTGGCCTTCTAACCACCTGCTCTTTTCCTAATTCGTGCTATTTCTGCCCGTAGGTGACATCGGAGGTCAGATGGGGCTCTTCATTGGGGCCAGTGTCCTCACCTTTCTAGAGATCCTTGACTACATCTATGAGGCAAGGATGGGAATCCTGGTGGGGAAGAGTGTCCAGATCCTTTAGGGCTAGGAGGGTGAAGGCCTTAGGGGAAGTACTGAGGGGAAGTCAGTCATTGGGAAAACCTGAGCAAGTCAGTTTTTTATCATGGGGAAACCAGGCTGTCCTGGATGTCCTCACTTCCCTGGGCCTCAGTTTCCTCACCTGTAAAATGAGGGTCCCCCTCAGCTCAAAATCTATGATCCTATGATTTCCCTAATCCACTGAATCTACTCCCCTTTCTCCTGAACCCTAACAAGGTGTCCTGGGACCGGCTGAAGAGGACATGGCGCCGCCCCAAGCCACCCCTTAGGACCTCAACAGGAGGCATTTCTACCTTAGGGCTACAGGAGCTGAAGGAGCAGGTAAGGGTAAGCATCTGAGAACCTGTGGCCTGCCCCTCCTCACCCTCTCTGAGGAATGTCCTAGTGTTGAGCCCCCACCCCACCAGACATTATGAAGGCTGGGCTGCTCTTACTCTGACTACTCACCCTCTCCCCATTGCCCTGCAGAGCCCATGCCCAGGACGAGGCTGTGCTGAGGCTGGAGGGGCCAGCAATCTGCTCCCCAACCACCACCACCCTCATGGTCCTCCTGGCAGCCTTTTTGAAGACTTTGCCTGCTAGGACAGTGCTCTCAGAGGAGGGAGACAAGCATCTGGGCCCCTCCATGGTTGCACTTGGTGGAACCAGGGACCTCTGCCCCTCCCCCTTGGGGAAGAATACAGTGACTTCCAGGGGCTGGAAGGGCCAATGGGCGCTTCCAGGGAGTGGCAGGAAAATCAGCTGCTGCCCCTCACCTATCCAGTAGCCCAGGGTCTGGCTGTCAGCTTCTTTCTTTCCTGTCTCCCTACTTCCCCTCAAATTCTCACTCCCAGGAGCCCAGGCTATCCCACCATAGCCTAGGACCCCACTGAGGGCTGGAGAGCCAGGCCTTGGACTGGTTCAAGACCAGGGTAGGGAGTGTCCCTTGGAGAGGGCAGGTGGTATGTGAGTAGACCTTCTCTCCCTGGGGAGTGGTACAGATTCTTGCTCAATAAAAAAAAAAACAAAACAAAAACCCTCTGTATATTTGTAAATAGCTGGGAGAGTGGGGGTGGGAGTGAAATAGGGGTGGGAAAGGGCCAATAGTGATCAGAGAAAAGTGGTTGGGCTTAGAGAGTAGGAGCCCTAGATGTGGACCTTGGGACTAAGTATGTATGTAGGGGAGGGAGGGTCTGTGCCCTGGGGATGAGGGTCTTCTGGGCTGGCCCTAGTTCAGGCCTCTTGGCACAGCCCCATCCTCTGTTAGGGTAAATGGGAATGGCCCCAGCTGGCCTGGTCTGCCCCACCAAGTGTACCCTCTGCCCAACTCCTGGTCCTCCCCTTCCTAAGGTCACCTTCTCATGCTCCCTTAACCTCCATTCTTGCTTCCTTTCAAAAGACCCTAATGAATCTCAGTGGCAGGAGGCCTGTCAGACCTTGGCTAAGCTTGGTTGGTGGGGGGGGGCATACAACTCCCCTCTGCTCCCAACCTTGTCTGATTTTCTAAATCTGTGAAACAAATGGAAATAAAAAGTCACAAAGTATTATATGTGTGTGTGTGTGTGTGCGCGCATCTCAGCAGTCAATGTACATGTGTAGACATGAATGGTTATGGGCATGTGGGGACTGTCGCGATGAAAGTGGAATATAGACCCTGGTTGGAGGAGAGTGAGGTCCCCAGGGAAAGGAAGAATAATAATCAGAGTTCACATCTACAAGTTCAGCTGGTTTATTAAAGGCAATCAGCTTCATCAGGGGATGGGTGGGATTTTAGGTTCTAGGTACTCCTCTTGACCACCCATCAAACTCTATTTTGTAACCAGGCCCTCGTAGCTGAGAGTGACTCTATCCAGACTTTCATCTACAGCTCCCCACTCCCCCTATGCCGGGCCCCCCATGGGAGGAGAGGTGCTGGCGTCAAGCAGACTTTTCTGCATAAATACTTAAAAGGCCATGGCCCACATATTGGGAGCCTGCAGGGCAAGGTGAGTTGGGAGGGCTCCAGCCTCTCCTCTAAGTACCCAGATCAGAGAACACCCTCCTGCCTGCAAATCAGCCAGCTTGCTGCCGGCTCCTTCCAAACCCTGAGGCTAGAGGTCCCCCTCCAAAGCTAGGCCCCCAGGGCTGGAGGCAGAACAGCTCTGATTAGGAAGGGGAGGGCAGGGTCTTCTGTGCTCCTGGTGGACTCGGGAAACAGAGGCTCCAGACAAGTCAGGTGCTGTTCCCTTGCTCTTGCTCAAAGAGCAGCATGGCTAGCTGAGCCCGGGAGCCCAGGCCCTCCAGGGCGCTCTGGCGGCAGTGGTGGTAGAGGCCCTCACTGAGCTGAGCCCCGCAGGGCTGGTGTCGGTAAGGCTGCAGCAGCGCAGGCTCCACAGCCCGCAGCACGTGCAGGCTGGAGAACTTCAGGAACAGGTCATACAGCTCCACACCCTCCAGAAGCTCCTCCTCCTGCTCCCAAGCCTTTGCCAGCTGCCCTCGGGCCGCCACATAGTCAGAGTTGTAGAAGCAGGCTTCGCTGGCCACGTGGCGGTCAAAGTGACCCGTGTCCCGGCCCAGCTCAGGGGGTCCCGGGCCCTGTGGGGGGGCCACGGCAGGATGGAAGGCTTGGAAGTGCATGGGGAAGAAGGCCTGCCAGCCAGCAATTGCGTGCATCCGGCATCGGTTCAGGAAATCAGAAGTGAGGACTGTGGCCGGCCCAGCCAGCAAGAAGAGCGTGTCCAGCGAGTGCTTCTTGGAAAGCAAGTCCAGCAGGCGAAGGGGTGACGGGGCCGCCGTCTGCACGCTGAGCCAGGGCACTTGCGAGCCAGGGTAGCGTCGTTCTAGCTCGGCCACACGGCTCTTTACCGGTGCGAAGATGTCGGCGTGGGTCACGTGTTGGGCTTGCTGCGGCTCGTAGAGCAGAAGCAGGGTCAGTGCCACCGCGGTGTCCCCCGGCTCCAGAGCGGCGGCAGCGAAGGCCTCCAGGAAGTGGGGCGCCAGGTCGATGTCGGCTGCCGCCAGGGGCAGCAGCACGGTGAGGCGGGAGGCCTCGGTAACATAGGGCACCGGCAGGATTTCCACCCGGCTTAGCGGCCTCAGGAGCTGCACTCGGCGGGTGAGGTGGCGGCGGGCCCCCTCTGGGGTTAGCGCCTCCAGTTCCAGGTCCAGCGTGTACTCCATGCCCCGGGTGGGGTCAAAGCGGCGGTAACCGTTGAGCAGCTGTTGCTTCCGAAGCTGAAGGGCAGGGTGGTAGCGGCGGTTTAGCTCTTCTAGGGCAGACCCCAGCACATCGGCTACATCATCTTGGTCAGCTCCTCGCAGAGAACAACTAGGGGACCCATCTGCGCAGGAGAAAACATGCTTCTCCGTAAAGTAGTCCCAGCTCAGCACCTCGAATCGAGAGGATGGCCGGAATGGGGCTGGGATGCCTAATGGCCAGGATGCCTCCTGTTCCCCATCCACAGAGAGCAGGCTTGTGTTCTGGATCTCCAACTGGATGAGGAAAGATTAGGGCATCACAGACAGGTTATCACAATCCCTTCTCCCTCCCACTAACACTCAACCCATGGCCCCTGGGCCCTCACCTGCAGCTCCTGGATCTCCTGGTAGGTGCGCTCCAGCTCAGCTCGTGTGAATGCCTTGTGCAGCTTGTACATTTGCACGGGGTCCCTTACGGGGTGGGCAGTCAGGGCACTCTGGAAGTGGGGATCCCCCTCCTGCACCGCCTCCCCTGCACCGCCCAGTTCCAGGTAGTTATAGTGCACGCCCTGGGGCCAGGACAGGGGAAGGAGTAAGGGGGACCATTTCTCTCACTCTATCCCCAGCCCTGGCTCTCCATGCTCCACCCCGCTCCCCTTCCTGAAGGCCCTCCTGCCCAACTCCCCACCTGGTGCTCGCCTGTACAGCTGACCCCAGTGGCATCAAAGATACAGCGGCCCAGCCATTCATCAGGCCGAGAGCTGACAATATCATTTCGGCAGCTCTCCAAGTGTGGCTGTAGTTGCTGCAGGAGCATGCGGGATAACAGCACCCCAAAGCCACTGTGGCAGTATCGACTTGGGGTGGGTTCTCCGATGAATTCTTGGGGCCGGCCCAGGTAGAGGTGGGAGGCTGTGGCCAGGCTGAGGTGGCCAGCCAGCCGGGCTAGCCTGTGAGCCTCTGTATAGGTGGTATCTGGCACCAGGAAGAACCAGTCAAAATCTTCCCCATACTTCTCCAAGAGGTGCTGAAGAGCCAGATGCAGTTGCCCAATAGGCCTGACCTCCCCCAGGGCCACCACTGACATGCCAGGGGGCTCCCTGCGGCTCTTTCTGCCAGTGAGGAACACCACCTGCTCCAGCCAATGTCCAAGTGTCCGGTTCACTGCCACACCCAGTGAGGGCAGGGTATCCTGGGTGGTGAGCACAGCCACCAGCAGCCTCTGCCGGATGCCCAGCTCTGTGCTGATGTATCGAGTCCTAGGGAAGAGGGAGGTGGGATCATAATGACAACTCCTAGTCCTGACCTGTGAATTCCTTGTGGGAACTCCCTCCACCAATGTAACCCCACTGTAGTTTGTAGTCTTAGCCACTGTAGTTAATGTGCTGTAGAGAAGTGCTTGTGGCATGGGAGGTGAAGTATGAGTCAGAAGGGGGATCTGAATGTAAGTCTTCCTGACTCCAAGGCTGGCCCTCCATCCACTATGCCAGAAGTACTGCTTATCTCTGTTTTACAAAGGTTCAGAGAGATTCTGATTTGCCTGGGAATATCCAGCTCCCAAGTGTCTGAGCTGTACCTCTAACCAGACTAATCAAGGGAATAAGAAAACTCCAGGGCAAGGAGTGCCTCCAGAGCCTTAGCAAAGGAAGGAAGGTGACTTTTGGCAGCAGGGACTGGATGGCCCTCACCTCCCCGCAGGGCCCCACCATTCCTTAGGGATGCAGGGCCATAGGAAGTCATTGGGGACTAAAGACTTCCTGGCCCAGGCCGGCCCCTTCCTGCCCAGGCTGGATCCAACTCCCGCAGTCCCCCTCCACGGCTCCCTCTCCAGTCTCCGCTGGCCTGGACTGGTCCCCGGGGCCGGCTGTTTTTGTTGAGGGGTGGGGGGTGGCGGGGCTGCTGCCTTGTCTTGGGGCTGGGAGGGGGCGGGGCAGGACGGAGGGAGAGGTGTCCCCTACCTGACTGCTTTCTTGGGGATCTGGCTAGAGTGCGTGGGGCGATAGGGCACCACGCGGGGTTCCCAGCTCTCCGTGTCCTCGGGCCGCTCGCGATCCGGGCTGCTCTGCACCGAGTTGGGCCGGCGGGCTGCGTTGGTGTAACCGCGGAGGGGCAGGTCGGGGTCCCCGGGGCGGGGCGGACCGGGGCCGCAGGGCTCCTCCACCCAGGTAACGCTGAGCAGGCTCAGGGTGAAGCCCAGAGAAATGCCCACGGCCACGGGCCCCGCGGGCCGCAGCACCGACAGCAACAGCGAAGCCCGCATGGCCCCGGCCCCGGAGACCGACTCAGCTCCGGCTCAGCCCCAGCCCGGCCCTGTCCCCGACCCAGGGTGTGGGAGGTGTGTACCCCGCTGGGGAGGGGGTGCCCTCGGCGGGGGGTGCCTCGCCGGGGGGCTCTCGGCAGGGGTTGCTCAGTGGGGGGCGGGAGCAGGAGCAGGGGCGCGGGGATGGGGGCGGGCTCGGGGCCAGGGAGCAGGGGGGCGGGAGCGCCGCGACGGCGCGATCCTCCTCGGTGGGCCAGAGCCCGCCGCCGCGATCCGTCTCGACTCCGACTCGCTCAGCCTCGAGCCGCGGGGTCGCAGGTAGGTCCAGAGCCTCCCCGACCGGCCGCAGTCGCCGCCGCCGTCCGACGTGTCACTGGAACGGCCCCGCCCCGGGGGTGGAGCCGAGCGCTCCCGCTTCAGCGGGGGCGGGCAGCGGGGCGGGACAGAAGACCATCGACCCCCGCCCCCTCCTCCTCCCGGAAGTGCCCCCGCTTCTGTGCTCGGGGGCCGGCCCTTGCCAAGTCCGTCCCCTCTCCCGGAGCGGACGGTGCGTGCAGGGTGGTGACGTCAGGAGCAGCCCTCCTCCGCCTGGGTGGTGCGCCCGGAGTGACGTCAGGAGCAGAGACCGGAGCTGTCCATCAGCACCAAGAGGCCTCGGGCGGGCTGCTGGGCATGGGGCCGTGGCGCCGGGCCTGCCTGAGCCAGAGCTGGAGCTGGAGCTGGAGCTGCAGCCCGAGCCCACGGGAGCCACGGGGCCTGAGCCGGACCCAAGCAAGGAGCCGGCGGAGCAGCGGCAGTGCTGTGCAGGTACCAGCCCTTCCGCCCCTGCCCCTCCACAAAGCACTGTTTTCTCCACCTGGTGTCCCTACCAACCCGCTCTCCGAGGACTCCCTCCCCATTCCGGAACTTCCCGGCCCTGCCTCGAGTCCCCTACTCCTCCTCCTTAGCTTTAGGCCCCTCCGCACTCGGCCCCTCTGCCCTAGGTGCCTTCTTCCCCAATCTTCCCACTTCCCACTATTATTTCAGCCCCTGGTCCTCTTTATCTACAGCCCAGACCCTCTAGCCTCAGTCCCTTGAATCTCCTACACTCCTTACTTTTTGTCCCCCTCACCCTTCACCCCGTCTCTTGGTCCCTCTGTTTCCAGTCCCTGCAGCCACAGGGCTTCCTTCATTTCCCTTCGTCTCTCTCTGGCCCCTTCAGCACTAGTAGGCTTCTCTCCCCTCTACTCCTACCCCTGGGGTTATGATGGCTTTGGAGCTGGAGAACTAGTGTGCCTCTCCTTTGGTCCTAAGTGGTGGGCTTAAGTGCCCTCTACGGTAATTGAGAATGTCCCACTGAGTCTTTTTAGAAAGCCTCCCTAGCCTTTCCCCTACAGCTCTCAACTCTGGCTCCCATCCTGGTGACACCAGACTTCTGTGACCCCAGTTCCCTTTCTGCCAGGCTGCCCCGGGTGGGTGACCCCACACCTCTTCCCTCCTTGGCAACATGTCCGGCACTGTGGAGACACTACGGTTCCAGCTGCTGCCCCCTGAACCAGATGAACCTCTCTGGGGTGTCCCCTGTGAGCAGCCCCTGGAGCGGAGGTACCAGGCACTGCCCTCCCTCGTCTGCACTATGTGCTGCCTCTTCGGTGTTGTCTACTGCTTCTTTGGTGAGACCCAGATCCCTGGGGAACCCCAGCTCAATCCCTCCACCCAGATCCCTTTTCTTAGGGTCCTAAAGACCCTTCCTTAAACCATCATCTTAATCTCTCATTCCTTTCCTCACACTCCTCCCCCCACCCCAGGTATTTCCTGATGTCCCTGATGTCCCTGTATGGTACTGGAAAGAGAGGGACAGTGGGGACTTTGGTGGTTGAGTTCAGAGCTAGGGCAGGGGACAGGGTTGGTGACTTAGGACAGGGGCTCGGGGATGGGGGATGTCCAGTCCTAAGAGTAGCTGAATCTAGGAAGCCAAGACCAAGGCTGCTTCTTGTGTATGCCGCCTCCTCCTTCCCTTCTGTGAATCTATCCCTTTTATAGACTATGTGACTGAATCTCTTATGATGAAGTTGTAATGGAGCTGTGATATGTTGCCCAATCTAGGGGTGTATTTATGAGCTTGGCCAGGTTGCCACATCTAAGGATGCTGGGCAAATTATAGATGACCTAGGAGATGGCAATCCAGACTATCTCTCCTCCCACCCTTCTTCCATTCTACCTGACCCCAAATCCAGAAATTTCTACTCCTCACCTTGAATGGTACATATTTGCATTCCAAATTGTGTACTAAGGGCCTTAACATCACCTGCTTCCAGGTGACACAAGACACCTTACTACCTATTTAATCTCTCTGGGCCTCAGTTTCCTCATCTATAAAATGAGTAGGTTGGATTAAATGACTCCTAAGGTAATTTCCAGCTCTAAGTCTGACATCTATGCAATTTCCATATCTTTGGTTCCCCGTGTCCCTTAAACTCTGACCTTTCATCCAAATTTTCCTGCTCCAAGTCCAAAAAATCCCAGTGTTTTCTGGTTTGCAATCTCCTTCTTGATTCTTGATCTGTGACCACTTTATCAGTGGATCCAGACCTAGCTCTTAGATTTTGCTGAATTCAATCAGCTTCTAGGGATATCGACTTATTGACCAGTATAGGGTACATTTGCTCTTGAGCCTAGGGTTTTTGTTTTTCATTAGTTTCTAAATTTACCAGATTACTGAATCACAACTCAAGGCACCATGCTTCCTTAGCCTTCCTGGTTCCCAATCCTGCCTAACTCCTTAGGCCCTGAGAGTTGCTGCACCTAAGCCTTAATGACTACTTCTCCCTTCTTCTGCAATTGCAACCATAAATTGGGTGCCCAATTCTGGTATCTACTTTCTCTTTCCTTTCTAACCCCTGCTGGCATGAAGTAGAGACAGCAAGAGTCAATTTCTAGATTTATTTACAAGGGGAAAAAGCATATGCAAATCAAGAATATACTCTATTGTTGTTGTTGTTCAGTTGTTTAAGTTGTGTCCAACTCTTCATGACCCCATTTGGGGTTTTCTTGGCAAAAATACTGGAGTGGTTTGCCATTTCCTTCACCAGATTATTTTACAGTAGAGGAAACTGAGGCAAATAGGGGTTAAGTGACTTGCCCAGGGTCACACAGCTAGTAAGGATCTGAGGCTAGATTTAAATTCAAGTCTTCCTTGACTCCAGATTCAGTGCTCTATCCAGTGCTCTGCACCACCTAGCTACCAAGAATATACTAGGGTAAGGTAATTAGAACTGTAAATTAATAAAAAACAAACAAACAAACAAACCCCAAACTATTCAGTACTAACCTGGATGGTATTAGATGGTAAGCTATTCTACCTAGCCAGTTTCCTGGGGCTAGCTTGATGTACAATCCCATATAGCTTTAGAATGTCTGGATCTCTTAGGGTCTCATCTGCCCAAAAGAATGACATTTCATGCCAGCAGAACTCTCTCCACTGACTTAGAATTCATCTACCAGGGTGGACTTTCAGGGTCCCGAACTTTTTGCTGTGTAATCATTTATCTTCCTTCTGCCAAACATAAAACTGGATCAAAGTCATCAGAATATAGATTTAGAGCTGGAAGAGATCTTAAAGGTAATTTATTTCATTCTCCCTCCCCCCCCTACCTCCACCCCAATTAAAAATACAGAAACTGAAGGCAAGAGAGGTTAAGCCCAAGGTTGCACTGGTAGGAAGTAGCAGAGGTGAAATTTGAACTCAGATTCTCTGACTGCAAATCCAACCCTCTTTCCACAGCTCCTTGATGCTCCTAAAGAATTAACAGTTTTTTTCTATCACCTCAAAAACAGAATATACCACCACTCCAAACATACACAAAGCTAAGTTGTCTGTCACATATCTTTACCTTCAGGGTTCCCCGACTTGGCCTTCATTTTGTGTATCCTCGTTACCCCTTGCTCTGATCCCCATCTCTATGAACCCCCATCACCCCCATTTTTCTGGCCCCAGGGTCCCAGTCTCTGATGCCATGTCTCACATAACTGTTATATCTGAACCCTCTATAAAACTTTCCTCTTTGACCAACTTACGTCCATCTCTTTGAGGCTCCCATAAGTCCCATATCTCTGACTCCCTGGACCACTCTCTGATGTCCTACAACCAGGTGGCTCCATCTCTTGGGCCCTTTATGAGATCTACACATCTGGTCCTTATCCCTTCTGTTGTTCTGACCTCCCTGCTTCCCACCCTCATGGCCTTCACCTCTCTCTATCTTCTATCTGCCTGACCTCTTATAAACTTTGTCTCTCAGATTTATCATTACCCCATCTTTCAGACTCTCCACCTTCCATATTCTGGACACTCCCCCCCATCCCTCAGGCAATAGCCTTCATTTCTTTGAATCCCATGACTTCATTTCTCTGGGTCCCCATGATTTCTTGGTTTCTAACCTTTTCATAATGTCATCTCTACAGCCTCTCCATGTGAAGAAATGCCCCTCCTGTTAGTGGATTCAACCTTGATAATGAAACAGATTAATGTTGTTGGGAAGATTCAGAGGAGGCACCACCTTTGGGAGTGAAGGAACCTGGAAAAGGGGTTGGAGGGAGGCAGGGGGAAGGATGTATGACCCTGTGATGAGAGAAGGCCAGGATATATGGCTAGTTAGCCCAAGAGGCTGTGCTAGCCTATTGTGACTAGAGTAGGGGAACTTTAGGATAACATTACTGTGCTCTGTAGCTTGACAAGTAGTACCCTGTGAATAGGTTTTATTTCTCCCCTTTCCTCCTTAAAGTTTAGTAAAGCACTATAAAAAAGAAATCCAACCTCTGACTTGGGAGCACCAAAGGGGAAGGAAGGCAGAGATTCACATTTAGGCCAGGAGAATTGGACCAACTGGGGTATTTTGGAAGCTGGATGAGAACTGATGACTGACAGTCCACATTAGTGGCTCAGGAATCAAGGGCACGGTATGAAGTGGAAAGGGAACTTAAGAACCCAGGTATGGCTGAGAAAGACAGTGTCTTTCCTGCCTGGGGTTTGTTTCTGAATATTATATCCCACTGACCATCTTCACGAGCCCTTAGATTTCCCAACTCTCTGACCCTCCCTACCCTCCAGTCACCTTAATCTCTTGGATTCTTCATGACCTCCTTCGATCCCATTCCCTTATTTATCTGAGCCCACAGTCCCGTTTTCTGATGTCCCACTAGCCTACCCTTCTGACCTGTCACCTCTTTGGCCCTTTGGCTCTTCACTCTCTGATCTCTGTTTCTCATCTCTGTATCCCCTGTCTCTCGCCCCGATGACCCTCACCCCTCTGACCTGCTCCGTGGCCTCCGTCTTAGCCCCTTCTCTGCCCCCTGCCCATGTTCCCTACAGGTTACCGCTGCTTCAAGGCCGTGCTTTTTCTCACGGGACTCCTCTTCGGCTCAGTGGTCATCTTCCTGCTCTGCTATCGAGAGCGGGTGCTGGAGACGCAGCTGAATGCTGGGGCAAGTGCGGGCATTGCCTTGGGCATTGGCCTGCTGTGCGGGCTGGTGGCCATGCTGGTGCGCAGTGTGGGGCTCTTCCTGGTTGGGCTGCTGCTCGGGCTGCTGCTGGGGGCTGGCGCCCTGATGGGCTCTGGCCCCTTCTACCAGCCAGGCTCTGTGTGGGGGCCACTGGGGCTGTTGCTGGGAGGGGGTCTGCTGTGTGCCCTGCTCACGTTGCGCTGGCCTCGGCCGTTCACCACTCTGGCAACTGCTGTGGCCGGGGCTGCCCTCATTGCAGCGGCTGCTGACTACTTTGCAGAACTGTTGCTGTTGGGGCGCTATGCTGCAGAGAGGCTTCGGGCTGCCCCAGTGCCTCCACTTTGCTGGCGGAGCTGGGCCCTGCTGGCCATCTGGCCTCTGCTAAGCCTGATGGGCGTCCTGGTACAGTGGAGAGTCACAGCTGAGGGGGACTCACACACAGAGGGTGAGACATCATGCTGGGGGTGGCAGCTACTGGGGGTGGTGGAATGTGTGCTGGAGGCAAGGCAAGAAACAGACAGAGGGAATTCATAGCAAGGATGAACAATGTAGGAGTGGGGTGGTGTAGGGGGACTTATACATTAAGGGTTGGTATATGGCATAGAATCAAAGATTTAGAGCCAGAAGGGATGTTAGAGATCATGTGGTCCAACTCTCTAAGGAGACAAACTGAGGCCCAGGGAGAGAATACAGCTTGTCCAAGGTCACACAGGTTAGTGAGATAGCTGGTATTCAAACCCAGGCCCTTTGACTTCAAATCCAGTGTCTTCCATTACAGACCTGAGGGTGGGGGGAGGCCCAGAGTCCATTGTTGGGAGACGGGTTCTCACCAAATTGGGAGAGGGGAGATAGAAAACTTGAGAAGCACCCAGGAGGATTGGGGTGGAGTACAGGAACAGACAAAAAGGGTAGGGGAGGGGTGGCTGATAAAGGAAAATAAGGTTTTATTGGTTTGGGAAGGGAATAAATATGGAGGGATCACGGGAGAGAGGATGGGGGTAAATAGAGATGAAGACAGAGAACACCTCCACACTGAGAGTGAGAGACATTAAGGGATGGAATGAACCAGGGGAGAAGTGACCTGGGTTGGGGGAGAGAGTGTGTTCCTAATGACCCTTTGAAGGAGGAGAGACAGAAATAGTGGGTTCCATGCTAATAAAGCGCTTTCTTCCTGACAACCATCTGAGGTAGGTAAAGTGAATATTATTCTCATGTTGCAGATGAGGTTAATTCATTTGTCTGAGGTCACACAGATGCTAAGTCAGAGCTAGAACAAGAATCCAGGTGTTGAAATGAGAAATCCAATGCAACCTCCATTAGACTCTAATGGGAAGATGAATTGGGGAGTATATCCAGGGGGAAAAAATCAGGGGTAAAGGGTAGATTTCAGAAACCGAAGAGGAGCCTGGGTGCCCAGTGGCCACTTTTCCCCTCCATCTCCTGGCCTCTCAGTGGTGATTAGCCGGCAGCAGCGGAGGGTACAACTGATGCGAATTCGGCAGCATCAGGAGCGGAAGGAGAAGCGAAGAAGGAAGAGACCCCCTCGGGCTCCTTCTCGGGGTTCCCGGGCTCCAACAAAGCCTGGCCCTCCTGATTCTGGCTATCGTCGAAGGCCTGTGCCCATCAAACGCTTCAATGGAGACGTACTCTCTCCTGTGAGTATCCCTTGTCTAGACATCCCTGCTTGTCTTGGCTTTGTTTAGTGAGGAGGGTGTTCAGGACTGTGGCATCTAGGTCAGACACCACAGAGAGATCTGGCATTTTGTTCATTGGCATCAGGGGTCATAGTTTCAGAAAGGAGGTTTCTAAGTCATAGGACCTGTTAGTTCAGGGTCTCATGACCCTTGATTTGGGAGTTAGAGAGGGTGTGGGGTTTTAGGCCTATGGATCTTAGGGGCAGAGTGTCATAGGAGTAGGAATTTTGGGAAATAGATTATCTCCAGAGTATGGATTTGGGGAGTGAATCTCAGATTTGTCATTTCTTTTACCTAGAGCTACATCCAGAGTTTTCGGGACCGGCAGACGGGGAGTTCTTTGAGTAGTTTTGTGGCACCCCCAGTAGACCTGGATTATGAATGTGGTTCCACAGTGCCACTGACAGCTGGCTCAGGACCCCCTGTTCGAGTATAGCTTAACCCTCATCTGGTCAGAGGAGACCTTGAAACTTGACTCTGGACACTTCAGACACTGACTCTGCCAGTTGGGGGTGGGGAGTAGCTTTGTCCTTGTTCCATAGACTGGACAGGACCAGGGCTTCCTTCCCTGCCCAAGGGCTGGCCCCCTGATCAGAGCTCCCTGAGGGGGCTAAGATCAATTAGCCTGAGGGTAACCTACTCAGACCCTTCCTTCAGGGGTTACAGAGAGCTCACTTGGCCCATATGAGCCCCCAAAGGAAAAGGATATGCCTTTGGGGCTGAACTCAGGAGTCGTGGGTTTGTATGTTGGGGGCGGAGTGAAGGGGACACCATCAGTCCCCTTGCCTTAGATCTCTGGTGTGTAGGGCTTCCTTCCGGGGGGACACTCAGCCTTCTCTCTCTCAGTGTTGTTGGTCCTAAGGGCCATCCCCCTGCACGCCTATGTTGGTGGGAAAGGCCCACCCTGTCACCTCATCCCCAACCCATGGGCTGGGGTTGCTTTCTGCTTTCTGGGGCTGCTATTCCTTCAGGCAGCATCCCTTCTGTCTTGGGGGAGGCCGCAATGCCCTTTGGCCCTGCATCCCCCACCCCTCCTCATCCTCTGCTAGATGCCAGCTCTGTAGGTGTTTGGTGGAAGGTGGGCAGGGGTCTCTGGAATTGCCCGGGGTGGAGTGGAAGGAGGGAATGGGGGAGGGCTTGGGGGTGGAGAGTTTGGGTGGGTGGGTTTTGGGAGCTTGTGCACGGTGCATGTCTGGTGTCTTTTGTTTCACTCCAGACACCTCGTGCTTTTATCTCCTCCTCCTCCTCCTCCTCCTCCTCCTCCTCCTCCTCCTTCTTTTCCTCCTCTTGTTTTACGTCTTTTATAAATGTGCCAAATTGCAAGGCCTGAACCAGGAGTGGTTTCCCAGCAGCCCCCTGGGGGGAGGTTGAGCAGTGAAAGTGATAAGCACTCAGTGCCGTGTGTGAAAGGTCAGAGCAGTGACCCAACACCACAGATAGACTGAGAGACAGGTGGGCAGAACACTGGGACATATTTATTCCCCTGATGCTTCCCAGACCCAGAGGCTGTTTTGGCTTCCCAGTTGTCCTTGGGCATCCATCCTGTGTCTGGGGCTGGTTCTAGCTACCTGCAGAGGAAAAGATTCTTTGTCTCCAGGCCTCCCCTTTCCCCTCATTCATTCCCTTTATCACAATGGGTTATTCACATAGGAAGATGAAAAGGGTTTCCTCTTTCTGTCCATACTTTCTGCCTGTTGAGGCTCTGACGAGAGAGGGGGAGAGTCAAGGAGCAGGAATGTAAGAGAGAAAAATAGGATGCAGGGAGCTCAGGGAAAGTCAGAATGGGGAGAATCCCACGTGGAGGGTGAGGGACACAAGGGGGAACCTAGCTGCCCTGGAATTGTGATACCTCATAGCCAAAACTTGGCTTCCCAGGATTGGGGTCCCAAGTCTTTGCAGTTCATGCAGCCCCTCCACACCCCCTATGTCCCACCTGCCTCCACACCCTTTCTAAGCACATACCCTAGGAAAGGTATATGCAGGACAGAGACAGACACAGGTGGGAAAGAGACAATGGTACAAGGTTAGAGTTAGCAGACTGGCGTTAAGGAGGATTCACGGAAAGGGAGAATACAAATAAAAGGAAAGGGGGCTTTAGCTATGGACAGAGCTGAGGGCTCTTCTCTAGACCCCTGCTTCTCTGAAGCACAAAGCACCTCTCTCACACGCTGCCCTTGCCCCACCCAGGTTGACCCCAGCCTCCATCCCTTTCCCCACAACACCCCTTTACAAGCAGACAGCCCTCCAAGACCTTTCACTGACCCTTATCTTTCTGTGCTTCTCCTCTTGCCTGCTGCTTCCCCAAGGTTCTCACCTAAGCCCAGCCCCACCACCTCAGTCCTGTTTCCCCCAGCCCAGCCCAGGTCCTTCACTCACTCTCCACTAGCAGATTAGTATTGGCACTGTCCTCTCCAGCCTGGCAGCAGTAGGTGCCCTCATCAGAGGGCTGGACGTTGTGGATGATTAGACTGTGGGTGACGCCATGGCTTCGAAACTCATACTTTGGTCCAGGTGGCAAATCGACCCCACCCAGCAGCCATCGAACATGGCCACCCGCCCTGGACACAGTCACTTCTAATGCTGCCCGCCGGCCTGTTAGCACTGTCTTCTCTCGAGGGGGTTTACGACAGATCTGGAGAGGCAGGGCTGAGGGTGGAGGGGAAGGAAAGAAATAGCAGAGGTATGATGTCTCATTGAGAGTTCCCACAGGGAACCCTTTATCTCTGCTGCCCTCTTTCTATAGCCTCCAACTCTAGCCTTAAGAATGTCCTATTTTAGGGGCAGCTAGGTGGTGCAGTGGATAGAGCTCCAGCCTCAGACACTTGACACTTACTAGCTGTGTGTGACCCTGGACAAGTCACTTAACTCTGATTTCCTCACCAAAAAAAGAAATGTCCTATTTCACCTGTCCTTGGGTAAATCACCACCTCTCTGGGCTCCAGCTTCCCTATTTGTAAAATGAAAGGACTGGGCTAGATTGGCAAGACTTCCAGCTTCTTGGTCTAGTGACTTCTTAGGGGGACAACAAAGTACTCCATTAAGATAGGGCAATAACATTATTCTCTTCCCTCCCCAGCTGAGGATATAGCAGCTGACTCCCTTCAGAGCTCAGCACTAGGCAGGTAGCAGCACAAACCCTGAAATCTTAGTCCACAGCAACCTCTTCCCCTCAGCCCCATGTGGTTCCTTCTTACCCTCAACCTCCAGTTGAGTGGAGGACTTTGCTTGTCCAGCCTGGAATTGGATCTCCCCAGAATCCTCAGCCTGCAGTTCACTCAGCACCAGGGAGTGCAGGTTCCCTGGGGATGGGGTGGGAGGCGCAAAATGGGGTTCACTGTTGGTCATGTGCAAAGTTGGGGGAGCCCTCGGGAGAAGAAGACTGGGGCATGCATGAGGAGTCTCCTGGGGTCATTGTGCCATCCAGTCCTTAGGGAGGGTGGGAACTGGAGATGGACAGAGTGGTCTTGGATACAGGACGAGGGAGAGAGACATTGGGAAGAGAAAGGTTGAGGAAAGGTACAGTCTCAAAGTTGAGGGCTATAGTAGTGTGTGGGGGAAAGGGGGATGGGAGGTCGGGGAGAGAAGTTAAAGAACTAGTTTCCTGCTGCTGCTGGTGTGTGTGTATTGGTGGGGGGGGGCGGGGTTCTATTTTTGAGGACTGGAGAGGGATGTCAGCTCTCACACCTTCCTGTCGGATTCGGACACGGCCCCCCGGGCGAAGGATGCGGCCTCCCAGTTGCCAGCAACCAGGAACACCAGGCTCAGACACTGTACACTTAAATGTGGCGCCGTCGCCCTCACGGGCCCTCACGGACTTTAGTTCATGCAGCACTGACACCTCCCTCTCTGTGGGGACGGACCAAGGAGCGGGCGGGCTGAGGTCGGGGCACCGCCCCCTCCCTCTCCCCAGCTGTCTGGCCGGCCAGGAGGGACACCAAACTGACCACCGGCGCCCTCCAGACCCCCCATCACACCCACTCTCAGGCAGACTCCCTTGGACCTCGCCAAGGTTATCCCCCAGCCGGGATCCCAAAGCACGGGCCCCCATCCCTGACCCCAGGCCCCCCCCTCCCCGGACTCTCGTGGCAGAGTGTCGGGAGCCCCGGTACCCACTCCGCACGGTGAGGTGGGCAGTCGTAGCTTGGGCGTTCCCCACGGAGCAGCTGTAGGTGCCCGCATCCGCGGAGATGCAGTGCCGCAGCTGGAGGAGCCGGCGGGAGCCGAGAGCCTGGATCCGGAGCCGAGGGCTGGGCGATAGCTCCTGGCCGTCCTGGCAGTGGGAGGGGGTGCGGTCACTGGGGCCAGCGGCCAGCGCCGAAGCCAGCACCTCGCCCCGCCTCCACTGCTGCGGTGCCTCCCAAGTCAGGGAGCCGGGTAGGCTGTCCTGGTGACTCCTGCTCCTCCGCTCTAAAACAGAGCTCACCTTCCCACCCGCACCACGGGTCTGTAAACCCGCCCCACGAGCCGGGTTGGCTGGCTGCCTGGCGCTATGAGATCCCGCACCTCCCCCACCCCACTCCCCCCTCCTTCACCCCAGCGCCTCTGCTCAGGCTATGGGCGACCCTTAAACCTTCTTTCCCTTCTTAAGACTGCCTGTCCCTTTTACCTAGATTTCAGCTGTGTGAATGTAAGTATTTGGGGCAATGCATTTATTACTTCTGGTCCTGAAATGCTCCTTACCTGACACCTCGCCTTTCCCTTCTTTCACTCCCCTCCCCCCACCCCTCTGCAGCGTCCTCCCCCACGCTGGTCCTGCCAGGGGCACGGGATTCATGACAGCATGGAGGGGGACTTTACAGATTATATATTTTACAGAAGAAGAAACTGGGGGCCAGAGAAGGGAGGGGACTTCCCAGGGTCAGACAGCTAGTAAAAGGCATATAAACATATATATGTACATATACATACACACGTATACACTTGTAAACATAAATGGCGTATAAACATACACGTACACATACATTTGTAAACATAAACATTACATAAACATGTGTACATATACACATACATTTATAAACATGTAAGCAGCATATAAACATATGTATATACACACATACATTTATAAACATATAAAGGCATACAGATAACTAATACATAGGTCCTTCTGACTATACGACCAGGGGTCCTTCCACTACCCCTACTCTTCTGGGCTGGGAAAGGGCTTAGTGGGGGGAAGCTGTCAGTTTGGAAGCATACTGGTTTGGGAGCTGACCTTATCCCATGTGAGGTCAGCCTGGCTTCTGGATAGCTCACACTCAAATGTGGCTGAGTCACCTTCCATCACTTCTAGGTCCTGAAGCCCCTTCACAATGGCTAAAGGTATCTCTAAGGGTGGACAAGAGAGGGGGAGACCGTCAGAGAATAGAAACAATGAAATGCGGGGTAAGGCGTGGTTGGTAAGAAAGGAGGGAGGCAGGGGCTTTGGGTGGAAGGAGGCTGTCACTGTGGGATGGACACTAGAGGGCAGTAGGATGCTGAGGCAAATGGCCTAAGAGTGGTTGGGGGTGGTGGACAGTGAGTGACCAAAATGGTGAGGAAGAGAGTGGGGACGGGGGTCTGTGTGAGCTAACAGTGAGGAGAGACAGACCTGTCACTTCTAGCCGGGCTGCGCAGCGCAGGCTGTCGGTGGTGAAGGACACAGTTCCAGTATCAGCTAGGCCGAGACCACTGAGCACCAGCGAGTGGTTGTGGCCTTGGGCACTGATTTGGCAGTTCCGACCGGGCTCCAGCCGGACCCCTCCCCGGGCCCATTCTCCAATCACCCCAGACTGAGACAACTCCAGTTGGAAGGTGGCACTGCCCCCTTCTGTGACAACCACATCCTCGAGATGATGCCACACCTTCAGCTGCTCAGCTGTTGGGAGGAAGGGAGCAAAGGCGTAAGTAGAACCAGGGTCCCCAGCTGGGTGTGGACGGGGGCGTCCTCCCCTGCTTCCCACGATGCCCTCGGTTTCATGGAATCCACCACAGGCCTGGCTGAAAAGGAATCATTTTAACTTTGGATACAACACATGAAATCGTAAATGCTACTGGAGAGTTCCTGAACTCTTCCCTCTGGCTATGGTCAGGGAGGTGTCAGGGCACACTTTGCTGGCACAGACTGGGGGAAGGCACAAGTAGGGCTCTGCATCCCTACTCCTTTCTGCCTCCCACCCTGACTTGGTCCAGAAAAGATACAGAGGGAGGAACATTCAGGCTTCAAAAAAGAATTTGTGGGGGTTGCTGGAGGGGTTCCTGGTAAGAGATTGCTTGTTGTAGGATAAATCAAAATTGGAGTGAGATGCACAGACCTGGCCGAAAGAGTTTGGGAACAGGGGTCAGACTAGTATTTCACCCTGAGGCAGGTGTCCGGGCCATGGATAAGGATCCACTTGGACAGCATATTTGTTTGGCTGGGCCTCAGAGGGAATGAAGGGATTCCTGCAGAGGGAGATTACATCCATCTCCTCTACTGAATAGGAAAGGAAGATGAGAAGAACCCTCGATAAAGGATGCCAAACCTCTTCCTGAGCTCGGCCAGGAAAGGCGAGTGTCTGAGGAGGTGCTAAGAGGTGGGTATGGACAGGGGGGTTTTGTGGGGTACTGCGGGGTACTCACGCCTCACAACTAGCCGAGCCTGCGTACGATCATGGTGGCTCTTGCAGCTGTAGATGCCCTGGTCACTCACCACGACTCTGCGGATGACCAGGCGATGTACTCGGCCATCCTGGACCGCAGAGAACCTGTCATCGTCAGGAAGAGGCTTTCCGCCTCGAAACCAGCTCACTACTCCTTTCCCCCCTACTCGGCTCGTCTCCACCTCCATACACAAATCCTGGCCCTCTTCAGTGCGAACATCCTGTAGCCTCCGCAAAAACAGCAGCTCAGCCTCTGGAGAAGAGGGAAGGGGAATGAATCCCAGGTTGGGCTAAAGTAGAGGGAGAGAGCACCGGTCTTGGAATCAGGAGGACCTGAGTTCAAATCCAGCCTCAGACACATGATATTTGCTAGCTGTGTGACCCTGGGCAGGTCACTTAACCCTGATTGCCTTGCAAAATAAATAAATAGATAGATAAAAATAAATAAATAAAATAAACTAGAGGGATAATTCTGGGGAGGGGATAAGGTAGACTGGGGAAGAGAGAGGAGGGAGGCAAGGAGCTCCTCAAAGCTGTATCACTTCCTTCCATACTTAGCCCTCTAAACTCATTCTAGTTGAAAGAACACTGACCTGGGAGCCCGGAGTCCTAGGACCTAGTCTAGGCTTCACCACATAAATTTTCTGAGCTTAAATAATCTCAGTTTCCTCACCTGTAAAATGAGAATGCTGGACAAGATGATCTTTAGGGAATATTCTGGGTCTAGCTACAGCCTATGGTTCGATCCTAGGTTAGAGTTGGGGCAAAAGTCTTGGAAAGTAAGAGGGAGAGACAGGTGACAGTGGGAAGGCGTGGGGCAGTTTCGCCTATTACCTCTGACATGGAGCCGGGCAGTAGTCTCAGCCCCCTTGGTCTGGGCGGTCACCATGCCAGAGTCACTCATCTGGCAGCCCCGAAGGGTCAGGGTGTGGTTTGGGCCATTCTGACTCGTTTCTACCCGGCTGCTAGGGGTAACTGGAGAGCCGTTCAGAAACCAGGTGAGCTCAGCATCGGGTGGGGAGACCTCGCAGCGGAACGTGGCATCATCACCCTCTTGGATGGTCAGTGGAGTCAGTTCTGAAACTAGCTTCACCTGGGGGGGTTCTGCGGGGAGAAGGGGGATACTGTCTGTTGGGCCAAGGTGGTGAGAGTGAGAGTTCCTCCTCCCTCCCTCCCTCTGACCTCCATCCCTGCCCCAAGTCGGTCCCTAGGTATCTAGCATACCTCCTCTATCTCCTCCCAGACCCTCGCTTCTTCCCCCTCTTCTCGCCTTCCCAGGCAGTCTAGCCTCAAGTTGTATCTCTTCCCACCTCCCCCACTCTGGCCCCCATTTCTTCTCAAGATTCTTGTTCACCTCTTCCTATTTTGTGGTCTTTGTAAAAACAAACAAACACAACACCAAGTATAAATCGCTTCCTAGTACAATTTTTTGTGATATCTCTCCCCACCCCCCCCTTTTTAATGAGCTGCCAATGGGAAGATGAGGGAAGGGAAGTTAGATCAGAAGGGAGGAAGGAAGGAGAGGACAGCTGGAGGGCAGGGGATACTGAGGGATTATGAGAGACAGGGGGGTGGATGGGGAGTTCAGAGAGCACTGTGAGGGTCGTGGGTGTGCGCAGGGGAGACTCATTACCTTCCACCTTGACGAGGAAGATGCGACTGTCCTGGGGGCCATCGCAGAGGTACTCGCCGGCATCCCCGCTCCGTGCCCCCCGCACCCGAAGCACCCGCCGTGCCCCGGCCTCCTCCAGCCGAACCCGCCCCCGGCTGGCCAGCCGCTCCCCGTCTTTGTACCAGCGTACGGCCCCCCCAGGCCCCGAAAGACACACTGCCAGCTCCAGGTCCCGGCCTGGGGCGCATCGAACCCCAGTCCGGGACGCCTCAGGGGTCAACACTCTCACAGGAGGCTCTGTAGGGCCAGAGCCCACGGTGTCATGGGGGAGGCAGGGAAAGGGGTAGTAGAGAGGGTAGGACCGGAGATGATGGTGTGCATGGATGTGTACGTGTGCGTATGTGTGTGTGGGGGGGACGACCTGGCCCCTGTGTTCTGGGGACTGAGGATGCCCACCCCCAGGGGCCTCAGCTTTCCCCACTCCCCATAGACTGTCCTCTACTTACCAGTCACCCAGATGGGGAAAGTGAGGGTGGGGGCTCCAGGGTTGGACCCCGCCTGGCAAGTGTAGTTCCCGGCATGAGAAGGGTGGACGGCCTGGATGAGCAGCATGCGCCGAGGACCCTCAGACCGAAGCTCCAGGTTCCCATCCTCCAGGACGGGGCTCCCATTCAGGCTCCAGAACACGGGGGCGCTTGCCCTGGACAGCTCACAGCTTAGGACCAAATGCTCCCCAGGGGACACAGACAGCGGAGAGGGAGCCACCTCGGGGAGGAGGAATTGCACTGGCGACTCTGTTGGGGGACGTCCAGGTTGAGGAAAATGTTGGGGTGCCCCCCTACTTCTCCCTTTCCTGAGCAGAGCACTGACCAGCTAGACGGACGTCAAAGGAGACGGCCTCATCTCGGGTCTCGCAGACATACTCTCCAGCATCCTGGGGCCTGGCATGGGGCAGGGTCAGGGTCCGGACTGGCCCCTCAGCCCCCAGTTTCAAATCTTCTGATGCCTCCACCTCGAGCCCATCCTTGTACCAACACACGCGGGCCCCCACAGGGGCCACTTCACAGCGAAGCTCCACTCGGCTGGGGGACCTGAATTGCAGCTGTAGGAAGCGGGCTGATGGACGCACTATCCGTTCTGGCGGTACTGGTGGGAGGGAAGGAATGAGGAGGAGGGGGAAAGGGCGGGGAGCTTCAAGCATCCCCCCTCAACTCCCATCAGGTATCGTGGCCTCTGGACATCTAGCTATAAGCTTCAACTCTGCCACTCTCTAGCTATGTGACCTGGAACAGGACCTTAACTTTCCTGGGTCTCAGTTTCTCAGTCTCCCAAACGGCAATAATATTTGACTACCTGAAGTGGTGTTCTGGTAAATGTTTTGTTTAACAACTGGCTCTCTGGGGGGAAAATAAATAATACAATATATAATATGATAAATATAATTATATGCACATATATACTCGACAAACTTTTAAGTATAATCTGCATGTGAAGGCCATCTGGTCTAACCCCATCATTTTTATAGATGGAGAAACTGAGGCCTACTTCACCAAGATCTGTGCCTCTGAGGTCCTTCTTCCAGCTTTAAACAGATGATCCTATTAGATTCTAAGGTCCAGGGACTCTCTCAAAGTCACACAGGGAGTCAGTGCCAAAGTCAGGGTCTGCGTCTAGACTCAGTCCTCTTTCTACTACACTGGGCTGTCTCTTTTTAAGGCATTGCTGGGTTTGGGGCACAGGGAAAGGAGGAGGGCTGAAAGCCTGGGTAGGTCCCTGTTTAGGATCGTAGATGGATGGCAGTTTGGTGGGTAGGAGTGGACAGAGCACTGGAGTTGAGAAGCCTCAGAGTCCGAATCCTGCCTCAGATGCTAGCTGGGTGGCCCTGGGCAGTGGATTCCCTCACACTTAACCTTTCAGCTTTAGTTTTCTCCATCTGTAAAATGGGGATAATAACGGTACCTACTTTACAGGGTTTGTTGTGAGGACCAAATGAGATGACCTATGAAAAACGCTTTGAAAACTTTAAAAAGCTATAAAAATGCTAGCTATTTTTGTACTATTATTCCATGGGGGGATTTCATTATAGGAATATTAGGATATGATTTCTGGGCTCCTGAACTTTTTTGGTTGTTGTTGTTCAGTGTTTTTATTTTAGTCGCATCTGACTCTTCATGGCCCACTTGGGGTTTTCTTGATAAAGATACTGGAGTGGTTTGCCATAAGATAATATTTGCAAAGTGTTTCGCAAACCTTAAAACACTATATAAATGCTTTTTGTTGTTGTTCAGACGTTTTAATTGTGTCTGACTCTGTGACCCCAGGAACTTTGCTATTCTGTTAATGTGGAGACTATAAACTTCAAGAGGGCAGAGGTTGGGTCTTGTCTAGATTCTATACCTCCGTCGCTGCCTAGCACAGTGCTTTGTACCCAGGAGGTATCAAGTTAATGTGAATTGCATTCTTCTCAAGTTGGTTGCATTTTTATCTCTTTCTGTTATGTGCTAGACAAAGTTCTTTAGATAAGCCAAATTCTGCTTCCATGTGGGCTATGGGAAAGAAAGGGGGCAAGGGATTGGGAGCACCCCACTGGCTTTGGGGGTACCAGTAAGTCAAAGTGGAGTATTGAGTGGAAAAGTAAAACCAGGCATTTTGCTGAGGAAGCATGTGTTGAACACAGAAAATGGGATTGAAGTAAGCAGCAGGTGGGGCTGGGGCTGGATGTCTGGGAAGGTCTGAGTGGCTGGGGACTCTTTCCCTGCCTAGCCAGCTGTGTCTGAACTAGGGGCTCTGGGAGGGGTCCGGCTTCTTCAAGTGGGAGGTGAAAGTGAGGCCAGGGTGACTCTCATGTAGGCTCTGTCCTATGGACCTCTTCCTTCATCTCTCCCTTTCCACCCCGGTGACCTCTGGATTGCTCCAGAAGCCAGTTTCTTAGGAAGGAAATCTCACAGTAGGTCACCTGGGGCTTAGCTGTGAGAGCTGCTTCCCCTCTCACCTGGGCAGCTTGCTTACACATGGTGGCAAAGGCAGCGTGAGCCTAGGGAAGAGGCCCCTCTACACCAGGGAGTTGAGAAGAGAAAGTCCTATGGAACCTTACAGTTGCCTCCCCTATCCCTGCTCAGACCCCTGACCTGTGACAGTGACGATGAAGAAGGCCGAGTCATCCCCTGCATCGCACACAAACTCCCCTCCGTCCTGGGGCTGGGCTGCAGGCAGGACCAGGCGGTGGTGGGGCCCCTCTCTCTCCAGGACCAGGGCCTCACTCTCCTCCACCTCCAGCCCATCCTTGTACCAGCGCACAGGGGCTCCAGCCCGGGAAAGCTCACACCTCAGGACCACTCGCTCTGAACTCACAGCAGCCACAGATACCTCATCCTGGGGGAACAGGATTCTCACTGGAGGCTCTGCAGAGGGGAGAAACAGTCATATCTGGAGTTGAAACCGCAGCGAATCAGTCATATAAACACTCTGGAAACAGTCCCAGAACCAATGAATCTCAAGGTAGAAGGGATCTCAGAAGTCATCTAGCCCAGTCCATGGGTGGGAAATCGCTGCTGCTGCATCCTGACATTTGGTTGCTCACCTCCACTGACAGGCCAATCAACTCTTGAGATCCTGAGAGCTATCCAAATTCAGCACCCCCGGTTTCTCCAGCTGATGGTGGTATGGTATAGTTAAAGTGTAACACTTTCCTCAATCTCCCTCCCCTCCCCCCCAAAAAAGGCTCAACCAGTCTCTCCAGCTAGACTCGTACATACATCCTGCTCATCATAGACAGGTAGGTTGATCCGGCCACCCCAATGCTATTACTACCGTCTGATCTCCCCGAGTGCTCCCATAAAAGGGTGGATGTCTCATGAGGTGGTGTGTTCAGTGGGGATGAGTCTGAAGCCTGGCCTTTCTACTTCTTACCTGTATGACCTTGGGTGAGTCATGTAAACTCACACTTTAGTTCCTCTTCTGTAAAATGAGGGTGGGTGGGAGGGGGCTGGGCTAGCTGGAGGTCACATTCTCTGCCAGCTCGAAATCTATCATCTTAAGGTCCTATAGTTATTTTTTCCCCTCTTCATCTGTTCCCCTAATTTCGGGTGTTGTGCTGTGGACCTTCTTGCCCCATTCTCCCTATTATACCAACAGTGGGGGGGGGGCGGGTAGGGAGGTGGGGGGAAAGGAGAGAAAGGAAATCCTTAGGCGAATGGAGCTTCCTTCATTCTCCAGGTCTAGTCTTGCTTGGTCCCTGACCTGTGATGGTGACGTTGAAGAAGGCTGAGTCTTCTCCGGCTTTGCACACAAACTCTCCTCCATCCTGAGGCTGGGCTGTGGGCAGGACCAGGCGGTGATGGGGCCCCTCACTTTCCAGGACCAAAGCCTTACTTTCCTCCACCTCCAGCCCATCCTTATACCAGTGTACCGGGGCTCCAGCCTGGGACAGCTCACATTTCAGGACCACTGGCTCTGAGCTGAGGGCTGCTATGGACACCGTGTCCTGGGGGGATATAATTCTCACCGGAGGGTCTGCAGTGGGAGAGATACAGTCACCCAGAATCACTAACAGTTGACTTCACATGCACTAGGGTAACAGATCAAGCTCTTGTTTGTTAACGGGGAACTGTGTTGAATGAGGATTCAGCTAGGGCATCCCCTGCTCAAAAGCTTTGTCGTTTGTCTCAGGGACAGCGACTGGGACAGAGTGGACCCATAGTCTGCCCCAGGAAGAAATGTAGAATCTCCTACTTAGAAGGGCCCTAAGATGCAATCTATTCCAACCATGCCTAAACCACCTTCACAGCATACCTAAAAGGAGTCATCTAGCAGGAACTGATTACTTCCTGAGTCAGCCCATTCGGGGTCAGGTCTAATTGTTAGGGAGTGAAGTTAACAAGTCAGCAAGGGTTTATTAAGCACTTACTATGTGCCATACACTGTGCTAGGTGATGGGGACACATACATAAGCTATGAAACTTTGGATGGCTGCATGGTTGTCCTGATCCCTCCCTCAAAATGGAGAATTTTACCTTTTACGGAACATCCCTGAAAACTGGACGCTGAATAGCGAGGAACTCACAAGGAGTTTCTTCTTGGTAGAAAGAAGGCCAGATTGGTTTTGGAGATTGTCAATACATGGACGTCCAGCTTGTCAACTCTCCCAGATTTGCCAAGAGTCTCCAGACTGCCACCCAGACTTCTGACTCCCAGACACAGTTACTTTGTGCAGTCCCTGATGTATCCCCTCCCACCCATCTATGACTGGGATGTCTGAGAACTGCACCTCCCCCAGACTCTCCACTCCTAGGCCCCCCAATCCAGAGTGATGGAGTAGGGCTGACAACCTCAGGTACCCCCAAATACATACTCCTCCCACCATCAAAGTAAAGTTGTCAAATGTAATTCACCTCCATTTCTAAGAACCTAGCCTTGGCACCCATTTTCCAAGAACTCCCCTTATTCTGCTGCCCAGAGCCCTAGCCCCACTGAGCTGCCTGACCTGTTACAGTCACAGTGAAGAAGGCAGAGTCATCTCTGGTGCTGCATACAAACTCGCCCGCATCTTGGAGCCTCACGGAAGGCAGCACAAGACGGTGCTGGAGCCCCTCACTCTCCAGAACCAGATCTTCACTCACTTTCACCTCCATCCCATTCTTGTACCAGCCCACCAAGGCTCCGGGCTGGGATACTTGGCACAGCAAAACCACTCTCTCCGAGGTCTTGGCAGTCAGGAACACTTCATCTTGGGGATGCATGATCCGTACAGGGGGCTCTGAAGCGGGAAACATGCAGTCATAATCAGGGGGTGTTGTGAAATTCAAATGGGATGAAGCAGTTTACAAACCTCAAAGTGATAAATGCCAGTTATAATTATCCTCGTCATTATTATTATTATTATTATTATTTTTAGTCTCTAGTTGCCATGCTTCTAGTCTGGGGATGACTTAATTCCCTGGGGCTTTTCTTGCAGTCCTGCTGAGCTCAAGCAATGTTTATAAAACAGCAATACAGGGGTGTGCCGGTGAATATTTTACAAATGGGCTTATGTGAAAGAGATTCGGAGGTTTTAGGGGACTACCAGCTCAATACACTGTGTGCTCTGAATCATCATACGCCTCAGACCGAGACCAACAAAGCTGTTCTGGGCCTTTTTGCTGGCTGTCTGCCATGCCTGGAATGCTCACCCTCCTCAGCTGGAATCCCACCTCCAATATGTATGAGGCCTTTTCCCCAGTTCTGAGCCTCCCTCCTCCCCTAATGCCTTTCCTTTGAAATTACTTCCCATTCACACGCTAGATACCTTGGGTGTACAGTTGTTTACATGCTGCCCCCTCCTTAGAATGTAAGCTTATCCTTAGAATGAGGACGGGGCTGTGTTTTTTTGCTTTCATTCCCCAGAGCTCAGCATGGTACCTGGTACATATTAAATGCTTAATAAAAATCCATGTTGATGAATAGTTATGAACATCTCCATTCATCATGATAAAGACATGAAGGGAGAAAGAACCAGGTCCCAGCACAAAATCACAGAATCTCAGATGTGGAAGACAGTCAATCATCTGGTTTCATCCGTACCTAGCAGGATACCCCCTCCCCATCCATTCTGGGTAGTGGTTTGGCCTTCTCTTGAAGAAGACCACCAGAATCCACTAGCTCCTGAAGCAGCCCATTTCACTATTTGGTGGCTCTGAAGTCTGGAATGTTTGGATTTTTGGTGTGCATGTGTGTGTGTGTGTGTGTGTGTGTGTGTGTGTGTGTGTGTGTGTATGTGTCTTTAATACTTGAAGGCAACTCAAGATGGTGAAAGCTATTAAGATCATGCCATGCAAAGATGGGCTGAAGAAAATGGAAATGTTTAGGCTGGAGAACAGGAGGCTCAGGGAGCACCTGAGAGCCAACTTGCAATGTCTGAAGGACCGTCGTGCGAAGGGGGAATTAGGCTTTTTCTGTTTGGGTGCAGAGGGCAGAGCTTGGAGCAATGGCTGCAGGCTCCCCAACTCTGGTTGTTGAGATGCAGATTTTGGTCATCTAACAGAATTGTCTGAGGGGAATATTCTCCTTTGGGAGGTAGTGGGTTCCCCCTTGTTCGAGGTCACCAGGCAAAGGCTCCTGATGGGGCCAATGTGGACACAGCTATGGGCTGGACTAGATGGGCACTGAAGCCGTCCGAAACCCTTGAGATCCTGTGAGCTATCATACTTTTCCCAAGTCTCCTTCTTTCCAAATTCAACACCCCCAGTTTCTTTAGCTGGTCCTGGTATGGTACAATAGCATCATGACCATTTACCTTGACCCTCATTCAGCCTCCCCAGTTATACTCATATTATTCCCTCTCAAGACACATCCTGTTCATCAGAGCCAGACTGGTTTAATGCAAGACAAATCAGGCCCATTAGCACCATCTGCTTGCCTAGGAAGTTCTCCTCTCTTTAGTCACTTACCTCACCTCTGGTGTTATGCTTGGATCCCAAAGACCCTTCCCTGTACTAGGCAAGCACTTCTCTACCCAGAAGACCCCCAATCTCCCTATTATCCTAACAGCTGGGGAAGAGCAGAACATTGGCTGGACAGTCTCCAAAGTGCTTTCATGCCCACCTGTGACGGTGACGTTGAAGACAGCCATGTCATCTCCTGCCTTACACACAAACTGGCCCCCATCTTGGGGCTGGGCTGCAGGCAGTATCAGATGGCAGTGGGTGCCCTCACTCTCCAATACCAGGGCTTCACTCTCCTTTACCACTATTCCATCCTGGTACCAGCGCACGGAGACTCCAGCCCGGGACAGCTCGCATCTCAAAACCACCCGTTCTGAGCTCTCGGCAGCCACGGACACCTTGTCCTGAGGGGATAGGATCCTCACGGGGGGTTCTGCAGTGGGAAACAGTGAAGCTTTTGAGATCTATCATCACCACATGGAGACTCAGGGTTAGATTTTGTCTTATTGTTTAACAAACACCCACTAACATGGTCACAAACAATACTTGACTGCAGATGGAGTTCGGAGTATTCACCCCTCGGTACTCTCCTCTGAAGGGTATGGGGTGGGGTGGAGGAGGGAAGCTAAGAACATAGACTGGTCTGAAGCCCCTGTGAAGTGGGGAAGTATGATACTAGCAATAAAAGACCCCTGATATGGTGTTAGCCTGAATGTTTGCATGCAAACTGAGGGCTATTGTCATGGAACCCTGGCTGGGAACATGAACCACAGAGAGATTATTTTTTGTTTTTTTTGGCTAGGCAATAGGGTTAAGTGACTTGTCTAGGGTCACATAGCTCGTAATTATCAAGTGTTTGAGGTTGGATTTGAACTCAGGTCTTCCTGATTCCAGGGCCAGTGCTCTATCCATTGTGCCATCTAGCTGTCCCCTACAGAGAGATTATTTAAGAGATATCTCCAACACTGAAACACAGAGCTACAATTCTAGGCCAAGGGCAATATTTGTTGGGGTGTGGACTAGAACTGGCCAGGTAAGCCAGTCCATCAAATGTAGAACACTTAGCCTGACAGAAGATGCGAAGATTTCACTTCTGATTTTTCAAAATAGATAAAACAATTATTTTCCCCTTCTCCTTCCTCACTGCTCCTGAAGCCTGGGGCTGCTCTCTGCAGGTACTTGCTACTCTCTGTGTCTTTCGGTAGATTTTCAGCTCTGTCTGTCTATGTTCTCCTTTATAAAGGCCAAGGCCAAGTGTTTCTCTTCATCAGCACTGAAGACTGTTAGCTAGGGACTAAGTATCTTGAACTTCCTCAAGGCAAGATCAATCCATTGACAACCAGGATGAATTCGTTTAAAGACACATCAGCAATGTCAGAAGAAAGTCCCAAATGTGGTTCAGTGGGGATGTTTATACTTTTTTACGGAGAGATGTCATCCATGCCAGAATCTGGTCATTTCATTTATAGATGGAAGCAACCTTAGTAACTTTAATTAGGAGCCTGCTTGGAACTCCCTGTGTGGCCACAGTTGGGTCCACTGCAGACTAATAGGTCAGAACAGAAATGTAGGATTTGGAATGCAGGCCAGAGCTCAGTTCTGAGCCAGAGGAGAAGATGGAGACCACAGGTGCAAATAAATACATTGTTGAGACTGAGGGGAAAGTAATGTATTTGTTTATCTGCCCAGAGAAGTGAGTCACTAGAATGAGTTTGTGGCACAGAAATTTCAGGGATGAGATTGGGTTAATGGGGCATAGTGACGATTAGACATCCATGTAAGAGCTATGTTTGATTCTCTTGTGTCTTTCTATACCATAAGACCATGGGGCTTAAAGCTAGAAGGACCCTTGGAGATCATCTCATTCAACCCTCTCATTTTTCACACATGAGGGAAACTGAGGCCTACAGAAGTGGCTTGCCTATGGTCACACATGTAGGATGTACAGGTAGGTAGATTTGGGCAAATTATGAGGAATATATTTCTCATAATCAGTCCTTTCCTCCATAGTACTGTAAGCTTTATGAGGACAGTCACTTTTCTCTCTTCCCTTTTTATATGCTTTGGGATTTTGCACAGTGCTCTGAATAGCAAGTCCAATTAACCAGCATTTATTAAACACTTATTATGTGCCTGGCACTGTGCTAAGTGATGGGAATATAAAAAAGGCAAAAACACCATTCCAGGGCTCACATTCTAATGGGGGAGACAGAAGTCAAATGACTAGAAATATACAAAATATGGACAGTATAGATGGAAGGCCATTTCAGAGCAAGGCCCTAGCGGTGAGGGGAACCATGAGAGGACCTTTGGAGCAGATGTGACCTAAACTGGGTCTTGAAGGAAACCAGAGAGTCTAAAAGGCAGAGATGAGAAGGGAGAACATTCCAGGCGTGGTGGAAACTCAGTGCAAATGTACTGAGTTGGGAGAAAGAGTGTCCAATAAATGGGTGTGTGTGGACCAATAAATGTGTGTGTGAGGACCAATAAATAGGTCAATGGATATTGATCAAAGAGTGTGTGGAGGGGAGGGAAGTGTAAGAAGGCTTGAAAGGTAGAGAGGAGCCAGGTAATGAAGGACTTTAAAGGTGAAAAATGATTTTATATTAGTTTATTGAATAGGGGGTGTGACATGGTTAGACCTGCCCTTTGGGAAAACCAGTTTGGAGCTGGGTGGAGGATGGTTGGCAGTGGGGAAAGACTCAGGGCAGGGACAGCAATTTAGGAGGCAGTAATAGTCTCTTATAATGTTGCAATAGTCCAGACAAGAATTGATAGTCTGTGTGAGTAGAGAGGTGATGTATATGACCAAGACTGTGAAGGGAAAAATGACAAAGTTTGAGAATAGATTAGCTATATGGGGTGAGTGTGAGTGAGGAGTCAAAGATAGTGCTGAGGTTGTGATGAGCTTGGGTGACAAGGATGCTAGTGAAACTCTCAACAGTAAAAGGGATATTGTGAAGAAGGGAAGATCAGGGGGGAAAGAGAATGAACGTGGAAAGTGAGGAGGAGATAATTGTTGAAGTTGTGGCCAAATGCAGCAGCTGCCTGGTTAGATGATAAGCTTGCCATGGGACAGTCAAAGAAATTCTGGATGACTCTTACCCATCAGGTGTATTGTAAGGGGGACCCTTGCATGGGAGATAACCTCTAAGGTCCCTTTGACTTCTATGATTTTAGGATTCTTTCTGTCAGCACAGAATAGTGAGAGGGTCCTAAGTCAGTGGTCCTTCCTGCCTCACTATCTGGCCCTGGGCTCTCTGTTTCCGAGTCATCTGTCAAGCCTCCAGAAGCAAGACAGGTGTGGAGGGAGAGAGTGGGCAGAGGATGGGCTGATGACATGTACTTTCAGTGGGACCTTCCAAAAGGGGCCCCTGGACTTGGCAGGCTGAGAGGTTGCTCCTGCTTCATCTAGCCTGGGACCCTGAGACTACAGCCCTCTTGCCCAGAAATCTCAGCCCAATCAGGCCTCTCACCTTTGATCATGACCGTAAAGAAAGCCAAGTCCTCTCCTGCTTTGCACACAAACTCGCCCCCGTGCTGGGGCTGGGCAGCAGGGATCACCAGGCGGCGCCGGAGGCCCTCATTCTCCTGCACCAGGCCTTCTCTCTCTTCTACCACCAGTCCGTCTTTGTACCAATGCACGGGTGCTCCGGCCCGGGACAATTCACACGTGAGCACCACACGCTCTGGGCTCACGGCCTCGACGGATACCTTTTCTCGAGGGAGCACAATTCTTACGGAGGGCTCTGTGGAGGAAAGGCACACATACCCATACACAGATACAAACAGTCACAACGGTGGAATCAAAGGCAGCAGAACTGGATAGCCCAATAGGCACCCTAGGCATCAATGGGTCTAAGGGACACCCCCCACCCCAGTGGTGGGGAACAAAACAGTGCCACCATGAAAGCACACATTTCAGATGTTGTGCCCCACCTATCATATGTTGTCATGTGAATGCGCCACCTGCCCATACTGCTCTAATGACCTGTTCTTTTTGTTTAGAGGTCCTGATTAGTAATTTTTTATGTACTAATAAACCAAATATAACTATATGCAAAGGGAACCTTCCAATGTATAAGTTTGTTGTTGTTTAGTTATTTTTCAGTCGTGTTGGACTCTTTGTGACTCCATTTGGGGTTATCTTGGCAAAGATACTGGAGTGGTTTGCCGTTTCCTTCTCTGACTCATTTTACAGATGAGGAAACTGAGGCAAACAGGGTTAAGTGACTTGCACAGGAGCACACAGCCAGGAAGTATCTGAGACTAGATTTGAACTCACGAAGATGAGTCTTCCTGACTCCAGGCCTGCACCCTATCCACTGCACCACCTCGCTGCTGATGTATAAGTAGCCTAACTAATATATAATTATCTAGACCAGAGGTACTAAACTTTTACCACATCAAAATGTCCAAGTATAGCCTGAACCAGATTAAAGTGTAATTGGGAAATGTTTATGAAAATAAATAAAAATAAAATAAAACACAGATAATATTCACTTTGTGGTTTTCCAAGTCAGCATGTGGCCATCAGGGATCCCTTTTCTGTTTGAGTCTGACCCCACTGTTAGATAACTGTCTTATCATCCAAGTTCTGATATAAAGTTGGATGGCCATTGAGCAAGTCCATCATTATTATATCCATCTTTTTTTTTTTTTTTTGGCAAGGCAATCAGGGTTAAGTGACTCATCCACAGTCACTCAGCTAGTAGGTGCCAAGTGTCTGAGGCCAGATTTGAAGTCAGGTCCTCCGGACTCCAGGGCCAGTGCTCTATCCACTGCGCCGCCTCGCCTGTCCATCTTGGACAGACACTGCAGATGGACAGGGACCTAGGCCACCTGAATTGGACAAACACAGTGGGCTGCCTTTGGGGAAACTGCACGGCATTTTCAACAACCCCAAGGTTCTGTCTGTAACAAAATCTCATCTTTTTAACTCCGACATCCTTGCGGTGATGCCTTATGGCCGTGAGTCATGGAATGATTCAAACTCTGAGGAATCAAAAATGTGGGTCAAGGAAAGGGCGATGGGGAGGGGGATGCGTGTGGTGGGCGTCAGTGGGCTGCAGGGCACAGTACCTGTGGTGAATCGGGTGTGCCACAAGCAGCAATAAAGACGGCATCTAAGAGACATATGATTGGAAAAGCAGGTGGGTGGGTCATGTGGTAAGAATGAGAGATAACCCATGGACAGCCACATCAGTAGAATACAGTCCCCTCAGTACCCCTGGAATGGTAGATGACCTAAGAGAAGGCTCTCAGTTATGTTGAGTGGGTCCCCCCTTCACCCCATGTAGGATTTATGGGAAAGCATAGATTGAAGTCTCCTTGGATGAGAAGGTATGGATGGATTATAATCTGTATTATTGGACCGAGCTCCAACATTGATCAGAGAGCTGAACCATGGAAATACTGAAGCCTGATAACATATAACAGCCTCTATAACTAATGAGTTTCTGAATTCAGGCACATTGCCAAGATGAAAATCATTAGCCTCTACTGGACTGAGACTTAGACAGTTATGAAATCTCTACCCTCCATTATTTCAGTTCCAGAGCAGGGCAGCTAGGGATGGAGGTGGGAGGGGCTCCCTAATCTCTCTCTCTCTCTCTCTCTCTCTCTCTTTCTCTCTCTCTGTCTGTCTGTCTTTCCCCCCAGTAACTTTAAAGTTGGTTGGAATAAATGGGTCCTTTGGATAACTTGGGCTCCAACCTAACCCCCTTGGTAAGTTGGGTTTCCTGGCACAGACACAGAAATGCAGGGGGAATGAGAATTTACTTCAATTTGCCTACCCTCTGACTGATTAAGAACCCAATTTGAGGCCCCTTATTCCTTGTTCATGCCTCGGTTCTCTGTGAGGAAATGGTGTCCAAGGCTGAGGAGACCAGGCAGATTCCAATTCCAGCATTGCCACAGGTGAGGACAGGATAGACTGGAACCCAGACTGGCCAGAACCAGCCACGCCAAGAAGGTGTCTTCATTTTCTACTCTATGCTGGACATTTACTAGTCAGCCCCCTCAAGCTATTGGTTGAGGGCTTTGTACCCTTCCCAATGCCACATTTAGTGAATGTGAGTTTCAGTAAGATTTTTCCTCATCTGTAATTAAGAGCAAAGCCACACTCCCAGGAGTGGTGTGTTGGTAGGCCTTGTAACCCTAAAAGCGTGACACAAATGTCAGTCATGGTGATGCCTCCGTCACGGCCACCAGTGTGCGACTCTCTGTGCCTGGACGTCGCCTTCTCCCCACTCAGTGCTTCTGCAGATGAAGGCTGAGTTTTATAAAAGTTTTCCCATTGTTTGGGAGAGAGAAGGGCAGGGAAAGCACTGAATTACTGAGCGTGGGCCCCGTGTCCTTCCTATTCCCAAGCTGGGCAGACAGAGCTTCCTGCTCTGTCTGGGCTTGTCTCCCTCAAGGTCACATCAAAGCCTTGGAATAAATCCTCACCACGTCCAGCCTGCCCTGCTTGAGTTGGCCATGCCGCCATTATAATAATGTCTTTCCCATTGGACAGACAGAGTGGTCACCGTAACCATGGTGGTGGCATGCTGCACTTGAGGTTGTAGGAGCTTGGTTTGAATCTTGAATCAGACCCTAGCTGTGTGATCACTGGCCAGTCATTTAATCCCTTGCTGCTTCATTTTCCTCATCTGCAAAATGAGGAGGGGAATATCCCTCTTACCTAGTTTACAGGGCTGTTGTGATTTCCTCATTTTCCGAATTTCAAAGCACAGTGTGAATTGTGAGCTATTGTGATTATTACTATTTTCCAGGAACACTGATTTTGAGCTGGAAGGGACCTCAGAAGCTATGTGATTCAGCCCCTTCATGGGACAGATTGAAAACTAAGGTCCAGACAGCTCCAAGCCCCTCTTCCCTCTTGGCCAAATAACATAGGTATTGAGTGACAGAGCAGGTATTAAAACCTTGTCCTCTGACTCCAAATTCAGAGATTGTTTCCACTGAACTATACCTGCCCCAAGGTCATGCAGATAGTAAGTGTCAGAGTCAGGATTCGAATCCAGGCCCTCTCCCTCTCAGGCCAGTGCCTTTCCCATCACACCTTGCTGCCTCTTCTAGTAACAGAGGGGTTCTTTATTTACAATTCCTACCTTGCACGTGAAGCGTGGCAGAGACATGGACACCAGGGCACAGGAAAGTGATGAGGGCTCCACTGTCTTGAAGCCTTGTGGCTCGGAGGAGAAGGCTGTGCTGGGGGCCCTCTTGCTGCACCAGGCATCCTTGGGCTTCATCCCTGGACCCACTCTCTGGTCCCCCTGCCTTGAGTTCCATCCCATTCAGGAACCAGGTGCCTTGCACCGAAGTGGAGAGTTCAAGGGAGAAGGTAGCATCATCCCCTTCTTGTACACAGACATCCTGTAGAGCCTTTTGCACCCGAGGTGTGGGCACTGGGAAGGTAGGAAGGGGTCATTAGAGGCAGAGAAAGAAGGCATGGCTTGGGCTCAGGGCACGGTGCAGAAAGACTGAGGAATGAGGATAGAGCAAAGGGAGAGGAGATGAGACGTGGAGGGCACAGTCTAGGTACCAAAAGAGGAAACTCACCCAGGTGCACTGAGCCTGGAAAGAGCACGTAGGGGCTCTGGCCCTGCTCACTGACCACAGAGAGCCGGAAGCGGTAGTCTCCCTCATTAGGCACGTTGTCTCCCGGCACCTCCACGGCACCAGCTGCTTCTGTAGTGAGGCACTGCACCCAGGTGTCCGCACCTACCTCTTGACGTTCTAGCCGGTAGGTATAGGCCTTGTCAGGGGCAGGCACGGGGGGTTTCCAGCTGAGCAGGGCTGCGTTACTGCATCCTGCACCCAGCTCCACTGCCACCGGGGGCCCCGGGGGTACTTGCTTCACACCTAAGACAAAATGTGTCAGGTTCCAGGGCTTTCTTGGTAATCACCTCCCGACCCATCCGAGCTCTTCCCTGGTTGTAGGCTGGACTCAGGCATGTCCAGCAGCCGGCCTCTACCACACCTAGCACTAACCCTACTTCCATCCTGCCAAACTCATGCCCTCCCTCTACCTTGTCCTCATTCCCTCAGGCTTCCATACTCTCTGCCTTCTGCCCTGGGCCCAAGCTACAGCCACTTTCTCTAACTCTAATTATTTCTCTTGTTTCCTGTTTCTTGACACCTGACAAGTATTCCAGCTTGGTCATTCACCCTCTAGCCCTTGCCCTACCCAACGCCCTCTCATCCTCCTCCCTGGTTTTTCTAGACTCTTGCCCCTTGGCCATACCCATCCTTACATTTGACCCTCAGCCTGGCGGAGGTGTGAGAGGAGCCCAGGCTGAAGGTGAACACACCAGCGTCCTGGCGTGTGACCCCCACCAATACCAGGGTGTGTGTGTGGTTGGAACTGGTTTGGATGATTCGGGGTGAGGCTGGCAACTCCTGACCATCCCGAGTCCAGTGCCCAAGAGCCTTGGCTTCTCGAGCCTCCACCGACAGCACCGCATTCTCTCCTTCTAGCACGTCCAGTTTCCTCGGCAGCCGCCTTGTGATGGGCCCTGGGGATAGAGGAGCGGGGTGGGTGTGCATGTGGAGGTTAGCACAGCAGGTAAGCCTGGGTTCAGCTTCCCTCATTCCCCTATTGGCATCCATCGCCCCTGGCCTGGCTGACCTCTGACAGCCACAGTGGCTACCGTCCGCACTCGGCCCCGCATCTCACACAGGTAAATGCCATCATCGTCGGCCTCCAAGTCATGGATGATAAGGCGCTGCACAACCCCGGCCTCCCCCATCTCATACTTGGGGCTGGGCAGCAGCCGCTGATCTTCTCGGTACCAGGCGGTGACAATGCCCCGGGAGGGCACTTGACATTCCAGCACTGCATCCCCATGCTCTTCACCCTCCACGTCCTCGAGGGGCACTGCAAACCGTACTCGGGGCTCTGGGACCCAGGGGAGAGAAGGGGAGGGGGAGGGGGAAAGAAAGGAGGGAGAGGGAGAGAGAGAAAAGGAGGGAGAGAGGGAGGAGAGGAAGGAGGGGGAGAGAGAAAAGGAGGGAGAGGCAGAGAGGGAGGAGAGGGAGAGAAAGAGAGGGAGAGAGAAAGAGAGGGAGAGAGAAAGAGAGGGAGAGAGAAAGAGAGGAGGGAGAGGGAGGAGGGGGAGAACGGGAGAGAGGGAGAGAGTAAGAGAGAGGAGGGAGAGGGACAGAGAGAAAAGGAGAGAGAGGGACAGGGAGAGAGGGAGGAGGGGGAGAGAGAGGGAGGGGGAGACAGAAAGAGAGGAGGGAGAGGGAGGAGGAGGAGGAAGGGAGAGAGGGAGAGAGTAAGAGAGAGGTGGGAGAGGCAGAGGGAGAAAAGGAAGGAGAGGGACAGGGAGAGAGGGAGGAGGGGGAGAGAAAGGGAGAGGGAGACAGAAAGAGAGGAGGGAGAAGGAGACGGAGGAGGAGGAAGGGGAGAAAGGGAGAGAGTAAGGGAGAGGAGGGAGAGGGAGAGAGAGAAAAGGAGGGAAAAGGAGACAGAGACAGATAGACAGATAATGTCAAGAGATGCACTGAGGGATTCTTCCCCAAAGACCTTACTGAGATGCCTTTCCCCAGAGAACCATATAATCTGGCACTTTTATAACATATGTGTATTGTTTGAAGTGTGACAATCTGGTCTCCCCAACTAGACTGTAGGCTTCTTGAAGGCAGGAGCAGTGCCCTACAGTTGCTTAGACGGCCCCCAGCATTGGGGGCTCATGCTAGGTGCCCAACACTCCCCTCATTTGGTCAGTGATACTGCTGTGGTTCTGTTCCTATGGCCTCCATTCTGCAGGCCCCTGTACCTCTGACGTGGAGCTGGACTGCGCTGAGCGTGTGCCCTGCGGTGTTGCGGGCAGCACAGACGTAAAGCCCACAGTCGGTGGGCTGGCAGTATAACACCTTCAGCACAAAGCCTCCGTCATGGTCCCGGTAGAGCAGGCGGCGGCGCCCAGGGCTCAGGGGATGGCCTTCCCAGTGCCACTCAGTCTCCGGCTCCGGCTTCCCGGTCACATAGCATCGGAATTTGGCGTGTTTTCCCTCGCTCACCCAGAAGCTCTTAGGGGCAGGTAAGCCCTGCCCTGCAGAATCCCTCTGGCCCTCGTGGGGGGAGCTCAGAGGGGTCTCTGGAGAGGGCCGGATCTGGAGCAGGGCAGCGGCCACCGTGTGACCGTGCGTGTTGCTTGCGTGGCACACGTAGACACCCGCGTCTGGTAGTCGAACACCCCTGATTCTGAGCTCGTGGCCAGCCAGGCCTTTTGTCAGACAGAAGTGACTGCTCTCCCAGATATCCTCCAGGAGCCGGCCATCCTTCTCCCAGTGCATTGCCGGTTCTGGCTGCCCCCCTACTTGGCATGTCAATATTACTTCCTCACCCTGCTGTACCCACTGAGATTGTGGACCTTCCAAGAACATGGGGGGACCTTCAGAGGGCTCAGGAAGTAAGCCTGGGGAGCCCTGTGAAAGGGCGTGGGTCTGGGCTGGGTCTGAGGATAGGAATGTGGAAGCTGTGTCCAGAGGACTCGGTGTCCTGGCCACAGGAAGGGGACCCTGCAAAGGGATCAGGTCAGGAGACTCCTGGGCTGAGGACCTCTCTGGGGAGATCGGGGCTGCATCTGGAGACTCTTGTACGGTGAGGGCTGCTGCGGCATAGGCCTCCCCAGACGAGTTTTGGGCCCGGCACACGTAAACTCCGGCATCTGGGGCCCCAGCTTCCCTTACCAAAAGGCTATGTTCAGCCCCCTCTGCCTGAAGACACAGACGGCTGGACGCCTCCAGCTGGTGCCCATCCTTCTCCCACAGGACGGTAGGTGGAGGGGAGCCTGTGAGGCAGCAGCACAGCACGGCGTCGGTGCCGCTCACCACCCGGACGGGCCTCGGGAAGCGAAGGAAGCGAGGAGCAGCTCCAACACCGCCTATCCCTTCCATGGCCACGTGCCACAGCTAACCCTATGGTGGAATGGGAAGGGAGGGGAAGGGGAGAGAGGGAGGAATCAGGAGAGAAGGGGTGCAGTGAAGGGATTGGGACTCCTGGTTCAGCAGAGGCACTGTGACCATGGAAAGCCAGGGCTGGCGGGGAGCAAAGTCGGCCATTCCCTCACCCTCGTCCCTCCAACCCCCTCCTCCTTTCCTCCTTACCCTCTAGGTCCAGCTGGAGATGATACACAAGGGAGGCTATTTTGGGGCCTCCCACTCTCTCCGAAGCCCGAACCTAACAGGAGGTCTGTCTGTCTGCCAGTCTGTCCAGATAAGGGGCCCAGTGTTCCCTACTCACTGCCTTGCCTTCCGCTGCACTGACACACTCTTCCCTCAGACCCCTGCCCACAACCTGGGCCTCCTCCCTCCCCCACTTCCAGTCCTAACCCCCCAGCGGCCCTGCTTGGGGCCTGAGTGTCACAGACGCCTGCAGCTGCCAGCCCCAAAAATAATCTCTGATGACACAGCTGGATGATAAGACACTAGCCTGGCTCCTCTGGGCTAAGTATAGAGCAAAGAGACCACCCCCATGTCCCAGCTCTTCCCCCTAAGCCTGGGGAGCAGCTGCAGTCTGAGAGGGGCCACAGCTGTCTTGGGCCAGAAGATTTTCTAAGGGGCCGAATAGTTCTCTCTTAGGTACGGAGAGTTCACCTTCCACCCCCGCTCCCCAACTCTGCCCTGGAGACAATACAGTGGCAGACTCAGTAAATCTGCAGAATTGGGGAGGGGGTGCATATCGGGGGTGACTAGGACACTGGGGCGAGGCATGACCCTTTACCCCACCCCCAGCATTCCAGGCGGGGGTGGGTGATAAGGCTCAGGGCCACAGACATCTGCGTCAGAGATAGGCCTCAATGCCAGCCAGGGACCGCTGGGCGTGGGAAGAAGAGGAGAGGGCTGGCAGGGGAGAGTGGGGAGGGCAGGAAGGAGTGTAGCACCCGCCGTGAGTGGGCACTAAGAACAGTCGCCCAGGAGCCGAGGGCAGCAGGAAGCTCGGGTGGGGCCATCTCAATGCAGCCCCTGGCCATGCTGCCTCTGCTGCTTCTGCTGCTGATGGGTATGAAGGGTGGGCATGGGTGCCAGGGCCCAGAACCAGACAGGGAGCTGGTGCTGGCCAAAGTGAGGGCCCTGGTGCTGGATGCTTTGGCCTCCCCCAATGCCTCCAAGAATGGTGGTGAGCCTGGGGTCCGGCGCCTGCTCCGCAGACATACCCACGCCTCAGGACGCACACGCAGAAGCATGGAAAATGAAGATGAGGACCTATCCCAGGTCATCCTTTTCCCAACCACAGGTAACATGAGTGTAGAAGGGGACTAGAAAGGGACAGTGGGCATCTTCCCTTCCTATCCTTTTCAATCTCTCCCCTTACCTCCTGGCCTCTGCCAAGCCCTAACCCCTCTCACCTCTGATGAATACTGCAGAAAAGGTCGAGCATGCAAGAGAGGGGAAGGAGGAACTTTCCAAGGATGACTTAGTAACGTTTTGAGGGCAGACTTGCCACTTTTATCTTTCCCTTCCTCATGACTTCCCTGTCCTCTACTTTATGAGCCTTTTTTGAAAGGTTTTCTTTTCTAGTTCATACTAGAAACTTACTCATAAAAGGGGATAGATGTGGGCCCTTTCTCATTCATTTCTGCACCTGGTTTGAAGAGGGGAGGGAGCAGAAATTCCATTTCTCTAAGTCTCTCCTCCCTCCCACTCCTGCCAACTATGGCCACCCACTCTCCTTCAGCTCTTTTTATTCTACAGGTCCTGGCTGTGAGGATGAACCAGAGACTGGGGAGGATGAGGGCCTGTTCACATACACATTTCGGCCTTCCCTGCACATGCGAAGTCGCCAGGTGACAGCTGCCCAGCTGTGGTTCCATACTGGCCTGGACAGTGTGGGGGCCAAAGTCCACAATGACTCGGGCCCCACCGTGACACTGCTGGCCATGTCTTCAGGGGGACCCACTGCAGTGCCAATATTACTGGGCCCAGCCCCACCTCACTGGGCCGTGCTTCATCTGGCAGCCCCTGCATTCACGCTGCTGACCCGTCCCCTCCTGGTGCTGCTGCTTCGCTGCCCAAACTGCCCCTGCCTGGCCCGGCTTGATGCCACCCCCTTTCTGGTGGCACACACTAGGGCCCGCCCACCCAGTGTGGGGGAGAGGGCTCGTCGCTCCCCTCTTCCGCCCCCCTGGCCCTGGTCTCCTGCTGCCCTGCGTTTGCTGCAGCGTCCTTCAGAAGATCCAGCTGCCCATGCTGACTGCCATCGGGCTGCCCTCAACATCTCCTTCCAGGAACTTGGCTGGGACCAGTGGATTGTTCACCCGCCTAGCTTCATCTTCCATTACTGCCATGGGGGCTGTGGGCTGGTCCCCTTCCCAGTCCTGTCTCCTGGGGCCTCCCTCACACCTTCTCAGCCCCTGCCCCTGGGCCCAGGCTCCCGACTCTGCTGTGCTGCTTTGCCCAGCACCATGAGACCCCTACGTGTCCGTACCACCTCAGACGGAGGCTACTCCTTCAAGTATGAGACAGTACCCAACCTCCTCACTCAGCACTGTGCCTGCATATAGGGAGATCCCTCCCCAAGTTAGGGCCTAACTTCCCCATTAATGCTGGTGCTGGCCACAACGACAGAGAGGAGACAAGGTCAAAGGACATATTCTCAACCCCTACTCTCATCTCCTAGAACTGGGTCCTCCCTGTCCAAGGTCACCTTCATTGATTGTAAACCAATTAATAAACAGTTCAGCATAACTGACTAGAGACAATGGCCTGGAGAATGACCCCTCTCCCCCCCTTCCCAGAGGTATGTGGGGGAGAACTGGAGCATAAAATTCTAGGGACTGTGTGCAGTTGTAAATCTAACTTGTAAATTCCCAAATCGCAAAGCACTGATTGTGGTAGCAGAGATCAGAATATAAAGGGCTTTGACTATAGGTCTGCCAGAAAGTTGCAGCTTTTTGAGATGATGCACAAGTGAGCCTCCCATGGTCACTTGGATGAGAGATAGCTTCAGTCTTTAGGGCAACTTAAACCTTCCTCCCTCCCTTCCCCCCAGGTGGTCCCCAGCACTTTGTACTGCTGGTCTCTTTGGCAGAGACCTTCCTGTTCCCATATTCTTGAGACCTTCTAAGCGCCCTCCCATTCAGGCCACTACTGAGATTTTTAGCAGGCCCCATGTAGCCCTCAGCAGAAGATGCCCACGAGTAGAAATCAGCTGGTGACCGAAGGGTATGAATTTCCCCAAGCTTGCTGAGGTCCCATGTTCCTGCTTGGCTCCTGCTCCAGCTTCTTCCCCAACTAAACAGGGAGCAATGCTTCTTGGGGGCCAGGGGGACATACTGCCCTGTGTTCACCCAATCTGTTTAGCCCTGGGGATGTGACAAGACCTAGAAGCTGAGGCTTCCAAAGAAGTCCACAGGTACCTCTGACCCATAATAAAGGAGATCGATCCATCTCTTGCCTTTGCCTTAGTGTATGAACAATCAATGTGTCAATGTCTCCCTGAAGTGGAGCCTCAGTAACCTGACCTTGGTGTACATGATGGATAGAGGGAGGGAAAGGAGGGAAGAAGCATTTATTAAGTGTCTACAACGTGCCAAGAACTGTGCTAAATACCTTACAAGTGTCTCATTTTATCTTCACAGCAACTCTGTGAGGTAGGTGCTATTATTCCTGTTTTACAGTTGAGGAAACTGAGGCAGACCTCTAGAGGTTGTGTCTTGTCCAAGGTAACACAGCTAGCAAGTATTTGAGGTGGGATTTCAATAAAAATCTTCCCGACTCCAGCCTAGTGCTGTAACCACTGTGCCACCTGCAACAGCTTGGGCATCACTGAGTCAAGATGACCTCATGGACCCTTCCATTTCTGGATGCAGATTCTGGCCAGGAGGCACTCTTGCCATCCTGACACAGAGGGGTTATGAAGAAGAGGGAAGGTGGTAGCAGTTACAGCTGAAATTAGGACCACTCTCTGGGGTTTTTAGTACTTTTTTAAATGAACCCACACCTCCCTAAAGTTTGGGCTCTACTTGTCCCAATTGGGGGTGACTAGGAAACTGGGGTGAGACATTCCCCTTTACCCCACCCCCAGCATTCCAGGCTGGGGTGGGTGATAAGGCATAGGGCCACAGACATCTGCATCAGAGATGAGGTCTGTTCCCTGGGCACCAGCATTTCCCAAAGCTTTCCTGGTCTTGCAGTGATGAAAACCCTTCTCCCCTTATGGTGAAGATAGCAGATTTTAGATTCTCTCCCCAATAAATAACCAAAGGAAGAAGGAACACACAAAACTCAGATGAGGTACAAAGTTCACATGGCTGAAGTCAGAAAGGCAGAGCCTAGAATTCCCTAAGCCCAGTCTAACCTCGTCTCAGAGCTCAGCCTTTCCCTCTTGAACCACAGGCTCACAGGAAGGGGGTTGGAAATCTATCTAAACATCTCCTCAGAGGCTGGACCTCATCTTCTTCCCCACCGCGTAGTATCAGGGCCTAAAACTTCCTAGCACCATTTTGGAGGGCTACTATCTATATCATCAAAAGCTGTGGTAGAAAACCAGGCCCAATTCTGGGAAGGTGAACATCCCACCAAAAGAAAAGCCATTTATTTACACGTCCTACTGAATCTCTGAGATTCCAGAGCAGCGGATGCTCACTGGCCCTTCCCCAACTTTAAAGCTCGGACAATTAGTGACCTCAGTTTTCCACGGAACCTCAGGGCTGTGAGGGAGGGAAGATCACCACCATCCAACCACCTCATTTTCCAGGTTATGAAAGTGATGCCTGAAGAGGTGAAGCTACTTGCCTAATTAGTGTCACTTCCCTGTCTGTCTGCCCCTTCTTCAATGTCAATTAATGTTGATGTCTTCCAAAGGCAGCCTGCCTCTAGAACAGTCTCCCCCTTCTAGCTAGCACTGGGGATATCAGGGGAGTTAAGACAGAAAATAGAGGACACAGACACCTGAGTGACAACGGCCCTGAGGTAGTCATAAAGTCCAGACACAAGGTAATGGCTCATTAATGACTCTAATAGCCTGATTACTCTCTGTTGGCCAACCGTAACAAGTGCCCACCTGCCAAAAGCCTCTCTGCTGGAGCTGACCACCTCCCCTTCCCATAGTCCTTCACTCTTTTTCAAGCTGGCTACCAGAACCTCTCACTGTTGCTGCAACCACCCGCCCCTCTCTTTCCTTCCTTCATCACATTCATCAAACAAAAGGCAACTCAGTCAGGGATTGGGGGCCACACAGTTGGTGCCAGTGACTTGTACTCACACCCATGTGGCCCTCCCCTTCCCACGTGTGGTACTGATTCCTGGGAACATTCAAAACTGCACCCTGTGGAATTTATTATGCGAGTCAATAGGAAGCCACCAAACAGAACGAAAACTCAGGATTTGGGGATATGGCCAAAAAAAAAATGACCTCTGAAATGGAAGTTAGTAAGATCAGACACAAAAGAGTCCCTTCCACGCCCTCTGTGATCCAGCTGCTCTTCACACATTTCTCGTCTCCAAGCTCTGGCTGTCCCCCATGTTCAGAGTGTTCCCCTTCTTCACTTCTGTGTTGTGGCTTCCTTCAAGATTCATCTCAAGCCCCCCACTCTGTAGGAGGCTTTTCTCAGTGCCCTCAGCTGCTAGAGCCTTCTTCTCTGAAACTACCTTTCATCTACTCTGTCTACATCTTGTATTGAGTCCTTTGAGGATGGACACTTTGTTTCGGTCTTTCTTTGAATCCCCAGAGCTTAGAACAGAGCCTGGCACATCCTAAGAGCTTAATTGAATAATGCTTGTTGACTGACTGACACTGACAGGAATCAGCTGCAGTAAATTCTCTAAGAGCTGGTTTGTGGCTGATCTAACGAAAATACTTCCCAGATCTCAGCCAGGAAACTATGGATGGACAAATCAGTCTCTTGGGAGTTGGCTTAGTGTATATTGGTTTCCCAGAGCTTGAACTGTGTACAAATTTTAAAATACTGAGTTTTAGAAAATGGAAAGCAGAAGATGAGACCCTGGACCTGCAGTGATCCCCCCAAAGTATAGCTCCCTTGTTAAGGCTCTGTCAGTAGGCAGCCTCCAACTTTTTAAAAAAAAAATCACTTCTTGACTATAACAATAGCGTAAGAGGGCATCAGAAGATTGGAGCTAGGTCCTAAAGGAGAGGGAGGCAGGTAGACAGTTTCAATCTAGAGCCATTTATAATAGTGAGTGGGTCACCCAACTGGTATATATCATTGGGTTTTTTGGATATATAGTTTTATTTTGAAGAACATACTCCACTTTTGCTATGTCTAAATCTATGTAATGATGATCCATGCAATCATGTAACAATAGATTTCTAGTGTAGTTTTATCCCTTTTGAATGATAATCTCCTTTTAGTGTCCAGGAAAGAACATGAGGGTAGGAGTCAGGGAACCTGGATTTGAGTTCTGACTTTTTCATTTGCTGTGACCTTTCAGCAAACTACTTCCCTTTCCTGAATCTAAATTCCTTCATTCTTTTTTTATTTTTTTTTTAGGCAATTGGGGTTAAGTGACTTGCCCAGGGTCACACAGTGTCAAGTGTCTGGTCTGAGGCCGAATTTGAACTCAGGTCCTTCTGACTCCAGGGCCAATGTTTTATCCACTATGCCACCTAGCTGCCCCTAAATTCCTTCATTCTTAAAAAGGGGGATGGGGTAGGGTGGTGTAGCATGGAGGCTAGACTAGATCATATCTAAGGGCCCTTCCAATTATGACCAGCCTCAAACTTTAATAACTTAAAAAAAAAAAACCTGATGTTGACTGAAGGCTTAGATGACAGTTATTTCAATTCAATAAATTCAATTAAACAGACATTTATCATAAGTCTACATATCCAGCATGAAAGGCAGGGCTCTGTGGTGGATACGGGGCTTGGCTGTGGAATCACTAAGATCTGGGTTCGAGTTTTGACTCTGATACATACTGTTTGACTCTGGGTAAACTGCTTAACTTCTCAGTGCCTGGGCAACCCGCTATGACTTAAGGATGGAGGTTATTTTCACAGTGAAAGAAATCACATGTCTGGACCCCTCAAAATGTGCAAATCACTGTGCTAAGGTTGGGTGAGATCGAGGTGGAGCAGTAACAAAGAAAAATTAGTCCCCACACTCAAGGAAATGTCTATGACAGCATTAAAAGATCTGAACTCCTAAAGGCCAAGGGCGGGGGTGGGGGGGGTGGGGGTGTAGAGTGGGGGGTGGGAGCCAGGTGTCCAGTTTTTTTCTTTTTTGGGGGGGGAGGTAGGCAGAAGGGAATTCATTCTAGGCTCATCAGATTTTTAGGCAGTGCTGATTATTCTAGAATGGTATAGATTCACAACTGCCATTCATACAGTGTTTGAAGGTCTGCAAAGTACTTTACTGAGTTTCTGATTTTTTCAATTAATTTTTTTTCCAATCAATATCTATCTGCCTCTTCTCCCTCCATTAAGAATGCAAAAAACCCCCCAAAATATATGCATTTAATTTAGGCTTTGCAACAACCACTGTGAGACTGGTGCCTGTGATCTCACTGATATAGAGCTCCCAGGGAGGAGCCTGACATTCTGAGAGGGCGAGTGGCCTTCCCTGGGTCAGGGTCCGAGGTGGGACTCAAAGGCAGGTCTTTTGGACTCTATATTCAGTCTTATCTACCCCACCACTCTCTCTCTCCCCAGTGGTGTTCTGCTGCCCAGAGAATATTTCACATAAAAAGCCAATTGGCATTTGAACACCTCCTATGTATGACTTGTACTGGGACATTATTGTCAGTTCATGTATTCAAGTTTGCAGGTCTGTCGTGCTGTGAGACCAATTACTGCCTCTTTTCCTTCAATTAGGCTAGCCCTTGAGGAGGTAGCAGAGTTTGGCTATGGGCATATTATGGTTTCTAAAACCCAGTTGCAGTGGAGATGTGATTACTTGAGATTAACATGCTTCCCCACTCAATTATCCTTTTAAGACACAAACAGAAACACCAATCTATTAAAAATTAAGCATGAATTTTAAATAGTGAAGCAGATAGGTCGAAGGAAACAAGTTTTCCCAAGACAAAATTTGGTACCTTTCTTATGACCCTGTTTTCTGTTATCTATTGATTCCAACCCTAATTTTATGTGTAGACATCAATTAGAACACCCTTTGGTAACTTAAATCATTCTCCTTATTTAGAATCAAAATACTTTGTTGCATGAATGATCCTAGGGCTCACTCAGCATTTTCAAAATGCATCAAAATCTTCAGGATTTTTCTTCTTCTGTAGCGATTGACTTTCATTTCCCTCAAGAGAGTAATTTCTATATCTGTTCCCAAATAATCAGAAGAAAAAGGTGGTTTTTTTTTCTTTCTAATTTCCTGACCCCTTGATTCCTGCTTCTTCACAACCAGCAGAAATAGGGCTGTTGTTATTGTTCAGTCTTTTT